TTTCACAAAATTATTTGATAGCCATCAGATTACAATTTTATTTTTTTGTCGCATCATCGCTGCATAAATTTAAGAAATACGTTGAATGTTCGTAATTGAAGGTGAAACACTGCTTTATAGATAACAATAGAGTAACTATAGTTTTCAATCTGTTATTTGGAATTATTATATTGCAAAACTCTGTTGAAATCTTCGAATTTCTCTTGCCAATTTCGTTTCAGTTTCAATCGAGGAAAAGATTTGTAAGGGTTCGATATAATCTTTGTCTTTATAATGGTGTCGTCATATCTTACCATTTTTATCATCGTCATTTATATCATACAATCTTTATATGACATATTTAAAATATTATAAGAGTAGGGACGTATTTTTCACGATTTGAATAAACTTTCTAATACGACAGGAACATGTAATTAGGTAAAAACGAAGATTTCAAAAGAATGATAAACAAATTTCTCACCTGTCTCATTGCGTATTCGCAATCAATACTCATTACAGCAATTTTCAGGACAGTAAGTATGCTATCCGACAAGTACACAATTTGGAAATCTAACGCGCCTATGAAATCATTTCTTCTGTGGGTTTCCATGTATATGAAATAGATACATACACAAAAATATAACAGTTGTGAGAACGTATATATTAATATTTGTGTGTTGAATATTTCGTTGACCATCTTCGAAACGTTGCACACTTGCAGATGCAGAAGCCTTCAAATTGTCAAATCACTTTATTCGTTAATAGATCCAGAATAATATATAGTGATTTGAATTAGATTTGGTAAATTTGAATTACATTTTATATGTATTTAAAATATATATGAGTATCAGTAATTTTCTACTATCAGTAAGTCTTATTCTATTAAATTAATGTCCTCTATCTCGAGATGTACATTACCATTTATAAATATCGTATTCATCATATTGTGGCGTCCGTTATTAAAAGAAAAATTCATCTCGAAAGGAATAAAGATAATATAACTGACTCTTCTGATTATCATAATTTTTCATTCTTTTTACATTGCTTGCTCTTTAATCTTTATTATTATTATTAATTCTGTTTACCTGATTTGTTGAAGTAAACGAAGATTTTCATCAGTCGGTGATTCTTTCTTTAAATTTGATGTGACGTTCATGGAAGATATCCGTGAGACTTCTGAAGAACGAACCGATACCGAACAGCCGACTTCTAATTGGTTTCGAAAATTACTACTTGGTTTGAAAATGATTTCCTCGTTGGATTCCGTAGCGTTACCTTCATTGTCCTCCGAGGGCAACGTTTTTAGGAGCTGGTTTATCATTTTAAATCGCGATCCAAGCCAACTGTAAAGTAATTCGGATTAATTTAATTATAAGAGTCACGAGAAAAATAAATGAATATTTTATTATGAATATTTTATTCGAGGCATCCTGTTATTAAGTGGAATCATGTGTTTCTTTACTGTTCTCGTACAATATAGTTGCGTTGTATTCGTATAAAATAACTGAGTGGACATTCGAAACGTAAATGTAATAAATAGTTGTCGCGTCTATGTTTGGAATTTTATGAAGCAAAATCGCGTATATTATGGTAGCGTTTAATATCCAAAAGAATCCGACGATTATCACACGATGAAATAAATTGTGATAATCGGTCTTAATTCCCAAACTTCTCAAATTTTCGTCCACTTCGTCAATCTGCTTTATCAGCATCGATAAGTTCTGCACAATAAATAAAAATACATAAATACGACATCAATAACATAATATTTGCTTATCAAGCAGATTTATGTTTTAAATATAAAATAATAAATACTACATACATAGTATTTAGTAGTGCAAGTAGATATATATATATATATATACATACACACACACAAGCACATATTAATATAATATTATTTTTGAAATATAAAATAACAAATATTATATAAGCATGGATATTTTTTCGTTTTTACGAAGGATTAATATTGTATAATTGAACTATTGAACACTATTCACCTTCGACTGGTACAAACCAATAATCATTGTAATCGTATACCCAAATGTATAAATGGAAAGTTGGATTACGTATATAATACGCTCTATATTATATGACATGTACATTATCAAAATATGTATGTGACGACAAAATTGAACGATAGCGATTATAAAAATCGACATGTTCCAGATCCAGCTGCATATAAATTTCAGTAGATTTTTTCTTGGATCAATGAAATTGCGGAGTCCTGCGATGTAGTTAAATACGGTTATTATCCTTGTTGTTTTCTCGTAGCTGTCCATCGCTATTTTAATATATTCAGAAAAATTAAAATAAGAAACGTTAACAATATCATTGACTTCTTTCAATGATGTTAAAAGTGAAATACTTTTTTTAACAACGACTTTGAAAACAGTTGTTTCACGTTCGTTTCGCGAAACACTTCGAACGAATTTCAAAGGAGTTGCAATAAATGTCCTGAATCAAATCTTTACTATGAGATGTTTGTAAGTTTAGAAAAGAAACGAAATAAACACCAGTGTGAATGTTTACACTGATTAACTTTAGTGCATTCTAAAAAATAATAGAAGCAATAATTAATAATTCTACTTTTCCGAAACGAACGAATACGTGACATTAACGTGACTCGGTTGTCCGTGCGACTGAAGGTGACAGCACCTAATTCATCGGACATTATATACATTTGATTCAAATAAGTGTTTCACGGGCAGAATGTCATCTAGAATGTCATCTACAAAAGCAAAAGTAGTTGTCGTATGAAGCAATTGTATTCATTAACAAGGAAATATAAGTGATGGCTGGTTAATGGCACCGAGTAATTGCGATCATTTCAGGAGAAAGCATTTTATAATTCATTCGCTACCTTTCTACGCTATACGTAAAGAATTTTTTATATTCTACGTATGTGTCCATGAAAGTCCACTTACATTACATTTTAATTCATTATAACGTGCACCCTGTAATATTGACTAGGTATTATTACTCGATGTACGTGTTATTAATACTAGAACTACCTGACGATTAAAGTGTGATTTCATTAGCCATTAAGATGAAAGAAAAAAAAAATCACAGGACCTTACGGTATAATGAAGTACACACGCTTTTATTTACACATTCTACGAAAAATCATTTAACATGATTTAACAAAAATTATGTATTGGTCATTTTGATCACTCTGATAGCTCTAGCGTTATTGTTTCAATTTTTATGAGCTACACTGACATTATTTATTCAAAATGCTGGATTATTTGGGCATGATCACCTATACATATGTAATATAGTGCAGTCAGGGAAATTCTTTGATTCAAAAGGAGACAAAAATCGAGTGCAACGAAATTAATCATAGAATTTATTTCTATCTTATAACTATGATATTAGCGTTGAGAAATATTTCAATGTGCAAACACATAAAACTCACCGAAGAGTAATAAATTCGATTGAAACCTTTTTTATGTTCTTAACATTCTAACAATCGTACTTTATTTTTAAACTATACATCTATTTATGTAATCACGTTAAATCAAGTTTTGACTTAATTGTACCATGATCACCAAATAAGTTAATACGAAGTAGAAACACTGTAAGAAGCATGTGAAAAATTATTTTATACATTCTACGAGAAAGAATTACATGAATTACATGTAAAAGAATACTAACTATGTAAAAGAATACTAACGTTACGAACAAAGTTGTAGTTCAATACATAATGAACTGATTTTGTATCTTCAAGCTGTGTGTACGATATTTGCCACAGGAATTGAAGGGTCTATCAACAGATCGATTCTATGTTACATTTTTCTTTTACAAGATAATTTCATTCATCACGCAAGATAATAAAGCGTTCCTATTTTTTACCTCGTTTTTTAATTCCGTGCTTTCACGATACAGAGGGCATGCGTGGATAAGGCTTATTGTCTTGTCCGCCTGAAAATTGATTAGACGATTACTTAACTTATTACTCCTTTCTAAAAAAAACTTAATTTTTCACAAAATTATTTGATAGCCATCAGATTACAATTTTATTTTTTTGTCGCATCATCGCTGCATAAATTTAAGAAATACGTTGAATGTTCGTAATTGAAGGTGAAACACTGCTTTATGGATAACAACAGAGTAACTATAATTTTCAATCTGTTATTTGGAATTCTTATTTTGCAAAACTCTGTTGAAATCTTCGAATTTCTCTTGCCAATTTCGTTTTAGTTTCAATCGAGGAAAAGATTTGTAAGGGTTCGATATAATCTTTGTCTTTATGGTGTCGTCATATCTTACCATTCTTATCATCGTTATTTATATCATACAATCTTTATATAACACATTTAAAATATTATAAGAATAGGGACGTATTTTTCACGATTTGAATAAACTTTCTAATACGACAGCAACATGTAATTAGGTAAAAACGAAGATTTCAAAAGAATGTTAAACAAATTTCTCACCTGTCTCATTGCGTATTCGCAATCAATACTCATTACAGCAATTTTCAGGACACTAAGTATGCTATCCGACAAGTATACAATTTCCAAAGCTAACGCGCCTATGAAATCATTTCTTCTGCGGGTTTCCATGTATATGAAATAGACACATACACAAGAATATAACAGTTGTGAGAACGTATATATTAATATTTGTGTGTTGAATATTTGGTTGACCATCTTCGAAACGTTGCACACTTGCAGATGCAGAAGCCTTCAAATTGTCAAATCACTTTATTCGTTAATAGATGCAGAATAATATATAGTGATTTGAATTAGATTTGGTAATTTTGAATTACATTTTATATGTATTTAAAATATATATGAGTATCAGTAATTTTCTACTATCAGCAAGTCTTATTCTATTAAATTAATGTCCTATATCTCGAGATGTACATTACCATTTATAAATATCGTATTCATCATATTGTGGCGTCCGTTATTAAAAGAAAAATTCATCTCGAAAGGAATAAAGATATTATAACTGGCTTTTCTGATTATCATAATTTTTCATTCTTTTTACATTGCTTGCTCTTTAATCTTTATTATTATTATTAATTCTGTTTACCTGATTTGTTGAAGTAAACGAAGATTTTCATCAGTCGGTGATTCTTTCTTTAAATTTGATGTGACGTTCATGGAAGATATCTGTGAGACTTGTGAAGAACAAACCGATACCGAACAGCCGACTTCTAATTGGTTTCGAAAATTACTACTTGGTTTGAAAATGATTTCCTCGTTGGATTCCGTAGCGTTACCTTCATTGTCCTCCGAGGGCAACGTTTTTAGGAGCTGGTTTATCATTTTAAATCGCGATCCAAGCCAACTGTAAAGTAATTCAGATTAATTTAATTACAAGAGTCACGAGGAAAATAAATGAATATTTTATTATGAATATTTTTATTCGAAGCATCCTGTTATTAAGTGGAATCATGAGTTTCTTTACTGTTCTCGTACAATATGGTTGCGTTGTATTCGTATAAAATAACTGAGTGGACATTCGAAACGTAAATGTAATAAATAATTGTTAATGTCGCGTCTACGTTTGGAGTTTTATGAACTATCCAGTGAAGCAAAATTGCGTATATTATGGTAGCGTTTAATATCCAAAAGAATCCGACGATTATCACACGATGAAATAAATTGTGATAATCGATCTTAACTCCCAAACTCCTCAAATTTTCGTCCACTTCGTCAATCTGCTTTATCAACATCGATACGTTCTATAAAATAAATAAAAATACATAAATACGACAATATTTGCTTATGAAGCAGATTTATGTTTTAAATATAAAATAATAAATACTACATACATAGTGCAAGTAGATATGATTATATATATACACACACACATATATATACACACAAGCACATAATAATATAATATTATTTTAAATATAAAATAACAAATATTATATAAGCATGAATACTTTTTCGTTTTTAACAAGGATTTATATTGTATAATTGAACTATTGAACTATTCACCTTCGACTGGTACAGACCGATAATCATTGTAGTCGTATATCCAAATGTATGCGTAGAATATTGGATTATGTATATAACATGCTCTACATTATATGGCATGTACATTTTCAAAAGATGTAAGTTATGATAAAATTGAACGATAATGATTATAAAAATCGACATGTTCCAGATCCAGCTGCATATAAATTTCAGCAGATTCTTTCTTGGATCAATGAAGTTGCGGAGTCCCGCGATGTAGTTAAATACGGTTATTATCCTCGTTGTTTTCTCGTAATTGTCCATCGCTGTTTTAATATATTCGGAAGAATTGAAATAAGAAATGTTAACAATATCATTGACTTCTTTCAATGATGTTAAAAGTGAAATACTTTTTTTAACAGCGACTTTGAAAACAGTTGTTTCACGCCCGTTTCGCGAAACACTTCGAACGAATTTCAAAAGAGTTGCAATAACTGTCCTGAATCAAATCTTTACAATGAGATTTTTGTAAGTTTAAAAAAGAAACGAAATAAACACCAGTGTGAATGTTTACACTGATTAACTTTAGTGCATTCTAAAAAATAATAGAAGCAATAATTAATAATTCTACTTTTCCGAAACGAACGAATACGTGCCATTAACGTGACTCGATTGTCCGTGCGACTGAAGGTGACAGCACCTAATTCATCGGACATTATATACATTTGATTCAAATAAGTGTTTCACGGGCAGAATGTCATCTAGAATGTCATCTACAAAAGCAAAAGTAGTTGTCGTATGAAGCAATTGTATTCATTAACAAGGAAATATAAGTGATGGCTGGTTAATGGCACCGAGTAATTGCGATCATTTCAGGAGAAAGCATTTTATAATTCATTCGCTACCTTTCTACGCTATACGTAAAAAATTTTTAGTATTCTACGTGTGTGTCCATGAAAGTCCACTTATATTACACTTTAATTCATTATAACGTGCATCCCGAAATTCTGACTCGATGTAAGCCATTAAGATAAAAGAAAAAAAAATTAAAGGACCTTATAGTACAATGAAGTACACAAGCTTTTATTTACACATTCAACGAAGAATCATTTAACATGATTTAACAAAAATTATGTATTGGTCATCACTCTGATAGCTCCAGAGTTATTATTTCAATTCGTACGAGCTACATTGATATTATTTATTCAAAATGCTGGATTATTTGCGCATGATCACCTATATTGCAGTCAGGGAAATTCTTTGATTCAAAAGGAGACAAAAATCAAGTGCAACGAAATTAATCATAGAATTTATTTCTATCTTATAACTATGATATTAGCGTTAAGAAATATTTGAATATGCAAACACATAAAACTCACCGAAGAGTAACATTCGATTGGAATCTTTTTTTATATTCTTAACATTCTAACAGTGGTGTTTTATTTTCAAACTGTGCACCTACTTATGTAATCACGTTAAATTAAGCGACGACGAGCGCATTTTTCTCTTCAAACACAGAATACAATACATGTACAGTAGTTTTAAACTTACGCGGCACAATGTTTAATGTTTAATACTTACAGCAATCTTTACTTTTTGTCATGCTGTAATGAAATATTATCGAAAAGCATGGAAAGTTATACAGTTATACTTGCAGTACTGTTTAAAACTTGATGGTTGTATTTGTTTTGTAGGCCAGATCTTTCATAGTCATGTTTTGGGTCAATTGCACCATGATCACCAAATAAGACAATATAAAGGTTACACACTGTAAGATGTACGTGAAAAGATTTTTAATAGATACTATAAGAATAAAAATGATGAGAAATTAGGAAAAGGATTACTAACGTCACGAACGAAACTGTAGTTCACTATATAATGGACTGATTTTGTTTTTTCAAGTTGCGTGTACGATATTTGCCACACAAATTGGAGGGTCTACCAACAGATCAATTGTACGTTTCATTCTTTCAAAAAAAATTTCTTTTACATGCAAGATAATAGAAATGCAATTTTTGTTTACCTCGTTTTTTAATTCCGCGCTCTCTCGATACAGAGGACATGAGTGGACTAGGCTTATCGTCTTGTCCGCCTGAAAATCGATTAGGCTGAAACTTTAAGCTCATTGCTCCTACCTCGAAAAGGAAAGTTCTTTAATTTTTCTAAAAATTCTTCATTTTATTCGGTAGTCAGCGGTAGTTAAATTATTCTTTTATTGTTTGTCGCCGTATATAATTGTTTAAGTTCAAGTTGAATTTTCATCGTGAAAATAAAACACTGATTTATGAATAACAAAAGTCTAATTTATATCATTATAATTGCAATGCTTCACTCCACTGCAGTTTTCAAAGTTTTCTTTCCAATTTTTTAATACAATCTTTATTATACTACTGGAATGAAATGGTTCTTATTTATCTCGAGTTTCAGAAATTTCCTAATTTGCAGAAAGTTCCTTCGACAGGGACATGTGATTTAATAAAAAATTATCCACAGAATACTGTAAGGTTAGAGAGATTGATAAACAAATTTCTCACCTGTTTCATTGTATATTCGCAGTCATAGCTTATTAGAGCGATTTTCAAGATTCGAAATATATTGCCCATTACGAATATTAGTATTAAACATATGTCCGGAAAGGTACCTCTGCGCATACCCATATACAAGCAGTAGACTGATATATCAAAGACTATCAACGACGTGATCGTGTATATCAATATTTGGGCGTTGAATATGTGATTCACCATTTTTGAAACGTTGCAGACTTGCAGATGCAGGATTCTTTAAATTTACAAATTTTCGAGTTTTAGAATAATAAACAGTGGCAGTCGAGAGAGAGAGTCTTAAAAAAAAAAAATTTAAATTGGTAATTGGTGAATACTTTGGTGAATTTGCAATAACATTTGAGTTTGACCAAAAGGTATAAATTAATGATAAGTAAATAATTGTTAATGATAAATATTAATGATAAGTAAAGAATTTACCATCCTGTTCAATATAGTATAAATTTTAATACAAGAAGAATTTTGACAAATGCAGTAATTACTCTTGCTTTTTAAGTTTTTTATTATTCGATCTCTGCTTACCTGATTCGTTGAAACAAATGGATTTTTTCGTTGATTGTTAATTCTTTTTTAGAACTCGAGGTGTCGTTCGTGGATGATGTCGAAACTTCTAGAGAACGACTGGACGAGCAATTGTCAATTTGCAGTCGGTTTCGGAAATTATTACTTGGTTTGAATACAACTTCTTCGCTGGATTCCTCGCTGTTTAGTTGATCGTCCTCCGAAAGGAACGTTTTGAGAAGCTCGTTTATCATTTCAAATCGCGATCCTAGCCAACTGCAAAATATGATAATATGAGTTATAATTTAATCTTAAAAGTTGAAACTAATATTACTATGTCACATACAGTGGTGTAATGAAAATATCCGAATATATACTTATTGATACCGTGTATGAATTGTATATTATTTTATAAGACACATTTTGAAATTTTATCAGATCTATTATGAGATCTGATATTTTTAGTTACATTGCAAAAGCATGAAATCAAATTGAAAATGTAGGAAATATTGAGAATAAGTAAGTATATATATCGATCATATTTAACTGACTAAACAAAAAAAGTATTTAAGTATTATTCTTTTTATTAATAAATCTATGTGCCATATGCTGTATGTAGTTTAACATTTATTATTAATAAATATCTCATAAATAAATATTCGAGTTTTAAATTTTACTTGTGCAATTATGATAATTTTATCTCGTTAACGCACATAACATAAAGATGAATGTTCCCAATTATAAATATTCAAATACTTTCATGAACCAATGGGAACGAATTAATTTCTCTTCAATAAAGAATGAATTATTGTTGTCAAATGAATCCAATATCTTATTAATGTTATTATCTTATAAAAAAATGTGTACGTTTTTATTATTTGCTTACTATACGGCTACGTTGTAATCATATAGAATAATTGAATTGGCATTTGTAACGAAAATGTAGCTGCCGATAACCATTATTGATATAATTGATAGGTTTCTTAATATCCGTTTCAAAAAAATTCCACATATTATGGTTGCGTCCAGTAGCCAGAAACATCCGATGATCTTCACATGACGAAACAAATTATGATAATCGATCTTAATTCCCATATTCCTTAAATTTTCGTCCACTTGGTTAATCTGTTTCACCAACGCCAATGCATTCTGAGCAATAAGTAAAATAATAATAACTAAATAATTCATCAGTTTATTGATCTATTTCTTAATACTTTGCATTCCACAAGCACCAGCGACAAAAATTTGAAATAATTTTTCACCATTAAAAAATGGAAAAGGAAGAATATTCTGAAAAGTATTTTTGACTCTGACTCTGATATGTATGGAAACACTTTAATGAATACTGCAGTCGATTATAACGAAGTTATTTATGACACTGAGAACAGCAGTGATAATAGTGAGGAAGTAAAAAAAATTGAATTAGGCTTAAAAAAAGAAATCGAAAATTTGCGAATTATTGAGATTGAAATGCAAAATTTATTCTTCAGGGAAATAATTAAATTAGCTAGGATTTTTCACTCGACGTGATAACATTTTTCAATGTTTATCCGATATGCCTTGGAGTCGTATAACAAATTTAGCTGGAGCGCAAATATAACAATAAAATAATAAATAATAGTACATTATATAAATTAATTAATTATATAAATTATGATATAAAATACAAAACGGTATTTCTTCAAAGAAAATAATTTATCAAATAATGTGTACTGTATAATTGAAGAAAGATCCATTACTCACCTTGGATTGGTACAAACCAATGATTGCTACAATTATATACCCGAATACATGGACAGCAAATAGGAATATGTACGTAAGAGATTCTATGTTGCGTGGCATTAATATAGTTATAAGATAAAACTCAATACAAAATTCACAGACAACGATCGTAAAAATCAATGATATAATCCATATCCAGCTGCATAAAAATTTGAATAGGTTCTTTCTTGGATCTATGAAGTTACGGAGCATTGCTATGTGATTCAATATGATTATTATCCTCGTTGTTGCCTCGTAGTTGTCCATGTCTATTTGTAGAGAAAGCAATAAAGATTAAAAATATTTCTTTCAATGATACTAATCCTTAACTGGTATGTTTGGACATTAGCCACGACAATTTAGGCTTTTATATTACGCCTATGAAAATTACTTTATGTTATATAATTTTGTATAAATTTATATTACTAATTTCTATCAGAAAGAATATGAAGCACACAATAAAATTAAATAGTTTAAGTTTTTTAAAAATATAAATAGCCATATGTGACAACTGAATATCACTTAAGGATCAAATATGTAAGTTACAAGCTAAGAAAACAATGATTTTTCGTTCTTTCTACAAATGTTGAATATATTTTGAATGTATTGTAGTAAAATGTTTTATTTATATATAAAGATGTGTCACAGTATCGTGAACTTCGTTCCTTACTGTTCAAAAATTCGATTTCAAGAAGATAGAGATTATACTCCACACATGAACATTCTACAATATTATCTGAACAGAATTTTTCATAATTGCCGAAAAGAATTTATATATTATTTAATGATTAAGAACAAATGAATGATGTGAATAAAGTTTATAAAAAAATAATAATATTAAAGTTTATAAAAGGAACTGTACAAATTTTCTCTTTTTCATAAAAAAAAGAAGGAAATGTAAGTAGAGAGAAGGAGTCACTTGATTTTGAATCTTTACACTTACTTTCAATCTGTACAGATTGAAGAAAGAAATAACAAATTAAACACTCGTGTGTAATTCACGTATTAGTTCCAAACTAATGTCTAGAAACGGACAGTAATGTGACTTGTTACTTCATGCAACTGGAGGTAATAGCTGCTCAAATATGAAATACTTATCACAAATAAGATAGTGTTCAATGTCATTAAGGAAATTGTAGAATAGAAGAAGCAATTTATTTGTCTAGACGTTATCAAGGGAATATAAATGATGGCGGAATAATATAAGATATATATGAATATATACAGTTTCGAGAAATATATTGCTATTAGAATAGGTCAGCAGGATCGTCATATTTTGTTTCATATAAATAAAAATGTACTAATAATTTAAATATGTTTAGACGATGATTGTATCGTTTTTTAGAGTATTATATTATTCGTATATATTACATAAACATACTCATTATATATCTATTTAATTCATACGATTCATAAATATATATTATATTCATTTAGTTAATTCTTTCATTATAACATATACGTATGTCTAATGTCTACAAATCTTATGTTATGATACTGCATAAATTCATAATTATTACTTTTATTTATTTACTTCACATCGCAATTATTAAAATCTTCACGCTTGTGCATTATCGTGTTCCATTTCACGAATCATTCAATCTAACAAGTTTATTTTCATGTCATAGGTAAAGCAACTAGCATATGTTTGTTTCGGTAGTAGAGGCAGCGTGAACGAATATTTTTTTATGCAAAACGTTGAACTCAGCATACAGTAATATCGTGAAATCAACGAAGATAATAATAAACTTTATAAAGTTAGTTTTCCAGTACTGACGAGAATTAAAAATTTATTTTACTCATAAAATATCAAATCAATGTTTCAATACCTACAGTTGCTCTTTCTGTGTTTTGATATTCTGTAATACAATATTATCAAAAATGTGGAAAATTTCGCAATTATATTTGCATCCTTTCAGAAAATGGTTCCATTTGTGATATTGATTTGATCATTCTTTGTCAAGTTCTGACTCAATTGTATCATGATCACCAGATAAGTTAATACGAAGTATAAACACTGTAAAAAGTACATCAGAGACAATTCTTAATATGTACGAGAAGGAAAAATTATTTTAAAAAAGTACCAACGTCACGAACAAAGCCGTAGTTCAGTATATAACGAACTGAATTTGTATCCTCAAGTTGTGTATAGGATATTTGCCATAAAAATTGGAGGGTCTGTCAACAGATCAAGTCCACGTCTTATTTTTCCAAGATAATTTCATTCAGTATGCAAGATAATAAAGAATTCCAATTTTTTACCTCGTCTTTTAATTCTGCGCTTTCTTGATACAGAGTACACGAATGGATTAGGTCTATCATCTTGCTCGCCTGAAAATCGAATAGGTCAGACTCTAAACTTAAAAAAAAAAGAGAGAAAATTAAGTTTGTCTTAAATTGTAACTTTATCCTGACACAGTTGCTAAAGTTTGAGAAATATATTGAATTCTCCAATGAAATGAAACATTGTTTTATGAATAACAGTGACAACCTAATTTACATCACTGTGATTTTTAGCTCGTTCTGTGCAGTTCGCAACTTTACTGACGTCTTTGAATTTTTCGTGTCTTGATCTGAATCTTCTTCTCAGTGTCAAACGAGAAATAGATTTTCAGTATCTTTAGACATTTCACCTTTCTGTCGGATCCATCAAAGAAATTGAGAAACGAATTTTTTACCTGTCCCATTGTATATTCGCAATCGTAGCTCATTACGGCGATTTTCAAACTACCAACGACACCGTCTAACAAGAATATCAATACTAGATCCAACTTTTCTACGACATCGGTTTTTCTCTGGATCTCCATATATATCCAGTAAGTCGATATACTGATGTACACCAGCGTTGTGAACGTATATATTAATATCTGAACATTGAACATCTGGTTCACCAACTTCGAAACGCTGCAGACTTGCAGATGTAGAGATCTGTAAATTTTGCGAATTTTCAAATCATTTTACTCGTTGATAGATTCAGGATAATATATAGTGGTAATAAATTTAAATTTTTAGATTTCACTAGTCAGTAAGTCTTATTCTACTAAATTAATATCTTGGGACGTACATTACAAATGTGTGAATATAGTATCTGACTTACAATGATAATAATTACCTTTTTTTTTTTAAATACGAAGATATCATAGTCAATATTATTGCATTTATTAAGCGTCCGTTATTAAAAGGAAAATTCATCTCGATAGGAATAAATATAGGGTGGACCAAAATTTTCCTCCTACATATTTTTTTTTTTTTTCATAAAACTAAATTGCAAGAAAAAATTAATTTCGATAAAACTGATTTTAATTGTAAGAAAAAATTAATTTTATTAATTTTGAATTACATTTAAGTACAAGGGTGATTTTTTTCATTATGTTTTAAAAAACCTGTAAAAAAATTTAAAAAATATATAATAAAAAAATTACGATTTATTTTACGATTTTTATGATTTATTTTAGCAGAAAGTGATTCCAAACCCTGAACCCTTTTTGATCCACCCGATATAATATAAGCGACTAGAATTTCTTATTGTAAAATTAATTTCCCTACTTACTCTTTTTACATTGCTTGCCATTTAATCTTCATTTATTCATCGCTGCAACTATCATTAATTCTGATTACCTGATTTGTTGAAGTAAATAAAGTTTTCCATCAGTCGGTGATCCTTTCTTAAAATTTGATGTGTCGTTCATAGAAGATGTCTGTGAGACTTCTGAAGAACGAGCGGACACCGAACAATCGATTTCCAATCGATTTCGAAAATTACTACTTGGTTTGAAAATGAATTTCTCGTTGGATTCCATGGTGTTTCTTTCATCGTCCTCCGGGAGCAACGTTTTCAAGAGCTGGTTTATCACTTTAAATCGCGATCCCAGCCAGCTGCAAAGCAACGATTCACGTTCAATTTGATACTGAAGAATATAGAATGAAAGCGATATTCATTCACGCGATGAATACTTTTCCACGAGTAAAAATACTTTCCCTATTTTTCACGTACAATATGGCTGTGTTGTAGTCGTACAAAACAATCGACTGGGCGTTCGTAATGTAAATGTACGTAAACGTAGACGAGCATGACAGTGGGATGATCGTCCGCACTACCCACGCGATGAAAATTCCTAATATTATGATCGCGTTCAGTAGCCAAAATGATCCTACGATTTTCACGTGACGGGACAAACGCCGATAATCGATCTCAATCCCCAGATTCTTCAAATTCTCGTCCACTCTGTCAATCTGCTCCATCAGTCTCAACGCATTCTGAAAAGAAAAAGAAATCAGCTGATAAAAATAACTTTGTAGATATGAAATCATAAATAAGGATGGATATTTTCGTTTTTTTTTTTTTTTTTTCTTTTTAAAGAAAAGAATTTATGTTCTTAACGATTCGTTACTCACCTTGGATTGATACAAACCGATGATCACTGTACTCGTATAGCCGAACGCGTGTGTAACATACTGAAATATATACGCAAAGTGTTCTATGTTCAAAGGCATTCTCTGCAGAACGTACAGTTCAACGCGGAATTGAACGACAGCGACCATAAGAATCAGAAATATGTTCCACGTCCAGCAGCAAACGAATTTCAATTGATTCTTTCTTGGATCTATGAAGTTACGAAGCGCCGCTACGTGATTCAGTATGGTTATTATCCTCGCCGTTGTCCCGTAGCTGTCCATCGTTGTTCTAATCTAGATCAAAGTGGAAAAACGTTAGTAATCTTCCTTCATGGTACTGATTTTTAAGAGTGGCAAGATTAAAAGAAAAAAACACATTGGTTTCGAAGCACTCTGAATGGATTTCGACGATCATAAAATTGTCACAAATGTGGGATCTTTTGTTCGAGATGACGATGTCAAAAAATTAAGAAAAATGACCAGGTTAATGCATTAATACGTGAATTAAAATTCTTGACGTTTGATGAAATTCATTGACGAAAGATCGTGGCCTTTATTGTTCATTATTCGTAAATTTCGGATGATTGCAATTGTGTATGAAACGAAGAAGACAAATAAATTAAAAAATGGGAATGCTCGACCCATGCACTACAATATTGGATTCAACACTATCTAATTGAGTTTTCTAATTTCGAACCTTACCTTATCGTTTACGAGTTTAGACGCGTGTGACGCAAATTTACATTGACCTCGAGCAAATGCAATGCAGTTAATAACGAGGTGTAACGATACAAGAAATTAATAATGTTTGCACCAGTTTGAGAACGTGAAAGCGTACGACGCGACATTAACGTGACTTTTTTCTTCGCGAGACTGAATCTAATAGCTCAATATGCGTTACGTGTCATCGAGGACATTGTAAAAGAGAGAAAAAGGGCAATTCATTTATCTAGGCGTGATATTATCTGTTTTTTTTCAAGGAACGCGAGCAATAGCGAAATAATAAAGTTTCGCACGATTACGATCGCATTGGGAAGTCTAAACGCTAATTATTATTTTATTCAATGTGTGTAAAAAAAATTACTAGCATTCCACGTGTATCTAAACTATTGTTGCAGTAAAAAATTTTGAATTAGTAAAAATATTATAAATAATATAAAATATATAATATAAAATATTGGTAAAAATATTATAAATAATATAAAATATATTATAAAAATATTATAAATAATATAAAATATATAAAAAATATAAAAAAATATTAGAGCAAAAACTATTATATTTTATTCGTTTTATGACGTCCATTAACGTAATTACGATGAGTCCTCATCATTTATTAATTTTACTTTATCAAAGGAAAAATTGATAAGGGTTGTCACGAAATTAATAGAATTAAAAATTAACAGAACGATCAAGCAGATACAACGTAAAGTCATTATTATTTTCGTTATATTTGCGTTACATTATAGTTTATACAGAGAATTTGAATACGAAGCTGTATTCCTGAATCATTAATATAAAATAAAATAAACTGGTTAAATAATCTTATTTCATACATACGCAATCGACAAATGAATTATAATTTTTCGAATTATTTGAATATATTGTTCAAAATTGATACCTCATACAGTAACATATCAGCAGAATTAATTGTGTTGATAAATGTTATACCGTTGACTAGTATCTATGTAATCATACTTCACTATCAGATCCTTGTAGCTAGCGCTGCTATAAATATAAGAATTAGAATTTAATGGATAAGTTGATAGCTGTAGCAGTATATTAATATTTAATAGTTACAGTTTTTCTCTTTGCACTTTATCGTTCTATAATTATTTGACATTATTATCGAAAAGTGTGAAAAGTTAAACTGGCATACTTGTATTTTCTTGCAATATTGTTCGAAAAGTGGAGGTCTCGTTTCTGGTTGCGTTTGGCGATGAGCCATTCGCTATCAAGTTCTGACTCAACTGTACCATGATCACCAAATAAGTTATCACGAAGTAGAAACACTGTAACGAACACGTGAAACAATTTTTTACACGTTCTACGAGAACATAAACAATAAAAAAATAGTACTCACGTCACGAACGAAGCTATAGTTCAATACATAGTGAACCGACTTTGTATCTTCGAGTTGCGTATAGGATATTTGCCACAAGAATTGGAGAGTCTAACAACAGATCAACACTGCGTTTCATTTTTCCAAGATAATTTCACTCACAGAGCATGTGTGGAATTTCAATTTTTACCTCGTTTTTTAATTCTACGCTTTCTCGATACAGAGGACACGAATGGATAAGGTCTATTATCCTGCTTGCCTGAAAAAAAAAAGAAAAAATTAGATTACTTCTTTCTGAGAAAGAGAATCTTTTTAATCTTTCAAATTATTCGTTAATTGATCAAGTTATTGCTCTTTCAGATATCTCTTGTTATACATTGATTTATTTGATCTTGCTGTCAGATCATTCGAATAAAATTGTTTCCTGAATCGTTTCGTATTGTGAAATGATATTTCTTCTTGTACTTTCATTTCTAAGGTTTCATTTAACGAAAATTTTCAAAGTTTACGAAACTCTAATTTACCATTGATTTAATATCTTTAACTGAGAATCGACGAGAATACATTGTTCTTTCTAAATAAAGAACAAAGATTTAAAGAGATTCCCCAATACAATTTGATAACGAATGATCGAACGCACGCAGTAGAGCTGAAAAGGATCGGGAAACATGTTTTTCACCTGGCTCATTGCATATTCGCAATCATAGCTCGTTAGTAGAATTTTCAAGACAGTAAAGATGCTGTCCAACAAATATATTGGATTTATGGCCCGCACGAAATCATGGCTTCTGCGAGTGTCCATGTATATACCGTAGGTCATTATGCTAACGTATATCAGCATCGTGAAGGTATATATTAATATTTGGCTGTTGAATATGTTGTTCACCATCTTCGAGACGTTGCACACTTGCAGATGCAGCAATCTTTAAACATGCGAAATCTTTCAAATCTTCTCAATCGTCGACAGATTCAGAATAATTACACAGTCAGAACAAACGAAGAATGAGAGGAAATTTAATAATATTTATGAGCATTATCGGTAACTATTGTAACCATACACTTAATACAACAATACTACATACAAGGTTAATTCCATTTGTTCTGGAATGTGCATACATTATTCCAGTGCTAATAACAATTTACTTTTTCTTCAAATTTAAATGTATTATAGCCCACTGCGTATATCATCACGTTTGCGCTATTGAAAGATAAATTCATTTTCAAAAGCTCGAATAACACAGCATTTTTCTTCGCAAGTATAGAGCGGGCCAAAAGTTTCTCCCCACCTATTTTCTTTTAATCTCTTGCCACGCACGTCGAGAATTTTTTGTCCCAAAATTGTAATATTTTCTCATATTTTTAAGTATATTTAAGTAAAACAAAATAGGCAGAATTAATGATAAATTTGTTACGTCTCGATAATTTCGATCCATCGATATCGTACCGACGAGTTCAAAAAGAAAGCGACGAATTATTGTATACGGTTCGGTCGCTCGTTATGGTCCGCAGTCAGTTGCCAGCACAAGTGGTTAATAAAACGTCGAAATACAGGGAGAAACTAATTTCATTAATTTTAAATTAAATTCAAGTTCAATGACCTTTTTCATTACGTTTATAAAATATAAATATATAATAAATATTTATATTTTATAAATATAATATAAAACATAAATATATATAACAAAAACATATAATAAAAAAATTACAGATTTATTTTAGCAGAAAGTGATCTTTCGCCCACCCTGTGTATCACAATTACTTTTTCCGTTTTCTTCGCGCATAAGTTGCTTCTGAAAACTTTCTGTCATCCATCGATGCGATTGTTACAAATTAGAAATTTGTTACGGTTCACCTGATCTGTTGGAGTGAACGGAGCCTCTCATCGATCGATGATTCTTGAAGATCAGAATTCGGTTCGTGGCTCGCGGATGATACCTCTGGATCTTCTAGAGAGCAGTCGGACAATGAATCATGAATTCGCAGCCGGTTTCGTAGATTGTCACTTGGCTTGAAAATAACCGTTTCGTCGGATCTCTCGTTTCTTATCTGACTTCTCTCTAAGAGGAGCGTTTCGATGAGCTCGTTTATCATTTTAAACCGCGATCCCAGCCAACTGCAAGGCGATTCCGTTTCAATTTAGTTTCGACGAAACGCGCAGTTAATTATTATTAATTATCAATCATTAACTAACTATTAGTTATTACTAATTATTAGCTAACAGTTAGTCAATACTTTCATTGTTCACGCACAATATAACTGTGCTGTAGTCGTACAAAATAATCGACTGCGTGTTCGTCATGTAGACGATATTGAAGAGGGTCAATATTTTGACTGGCAGGGTAAAATATGCATTTTTATCGAGTATCCGTTCGATGCACATTCCGTACATTACGAGCGCGATTAGTATCCAGAGAGATCCTGCGATCTTAACGCGACGAAATAAATCGCTGTAATCGATCTTAGTTCCGAGCTTCTTCAAAATTTCGTCGACTTCGTCGATCTGTTTCTCCATCGTCAATACATTCTGAACAGGAAAGTGATCAATTAATGAAAGTGATTAACCACTTGCCCTACGATTTTCTTTTCAAACTTGTTTGATAAGCCATATGTCGGGCAAAAATTTTATTCGAAGGTGCAAAATTAAGGAACCTTTCGTTCGCCGCTGCTACTGAATAAAATACGAATTCGAACAAGAACCTCGTTGTTGTATCTATTTAATTACATCATGTCAAACGCGAAGGAAGATAATTATTCAAGATTTGAAAAATGTGAGATTTTTGCGCGACTCTTCTCATATTTAAAAATAAAATCGTTTTCAAATATTACGCGTTTAACAACTATTTTAAATAAATATTCTGGTGTATAATTCACTACTTGTGTATTTATGATCTTATTCTTATTCTATTGAAAAAGAATCCGTTATTCACCTTGGACTGATACAGACCAATAATCATTGAACTCGTACACCCAATAATATGAATAGTATATTGGAATGCGTGAAATACATGTTCCCTGTCAATGGTCTTGCCTAAAATACTTATAATACATATTAGAAACAAGAATGGAACGATAGTGACTGTAAGGATTGAAATCGTGTTCCAGATCCAGCTCAATATGAATTTAAATTGATTTTTTCTTGGATCTATGAAGTTCCGGTGTGTCGCTACATAATTCAATATGGTCACCATCCTTGTTGCTGCCCTGTAGTTGTCCATCGTTGTTTTAATCTAAATAAAAAATATTTTTTAACAATTGTTTACAACTTGAAATACTCCAAACGTGGCAAGTTAAGGAACCAATGGATTTTTTTGTTCCTTTTATGGGGAATTTTGAATGGATTTCAGTGAAGTTAGAATATTTTTTTTATACACAATGGAAAACGGAGAAAACATAAGCGAATCAAACTAAAATTAATTAAATTAAAATTAAATCAATTAAAATTATTGTTATTGTAATCAAATTAATTTAATTAGCTATCACTATTATTGTTATTGTAATTAAATTAATTTAATTAGCTATCACTATTATTGTTATTGTAATTAAATTAATTTAATTAGCTATCACTGTTATTGTTATTGTAATTAAATTAATTTAATTAGCTATCACTATTATTGTGATCAAATTAATTTAACTAGCTATCACTGTTATTGTGTACAAATTAATTTAACTAGCTATCACTGTTATTGTAATCAAATTAATTTAATTAGCTATCACTGTTATTGTTATTGTAATTAAATTAATTTAATTAGCTATCACTATTATTGTGATCAAATTAATTTAACTAGCTATCACTGTTATTGTTGTGTACAAATTAATTTAACTAGCTATCATTGTTATTATAATCAAATTAATTTAATTAGCTATCAATATTATTGTTATTGTAATTAAATTAATTTAATTAGCTATCACTATTATTGTTCTTGTAATTAAATTAATTTAATTAGCTATCACTATTATTGTTATTGTAATTAAATTATTGTTATTGTAATTAATTTAACTAGCTATCACTGTTATTGTAATCAAATTAAATTAATTTAATTAGCTATCACTAGCTATCGCAATATTCGCTGTTCACAAATTGCAGATTATTCCAAGGAATTAGACTAGTTACAATATTGTTCTTCGTGAAGAAAATGTGCTTAAGGAGAAGAATGATTGATTGTGCAGCGAACGATGTCAGAAAAAAAAAGAAATGAAAGAATGAAGTTAATCCACTAACGTGAACTTCAACATAATTGAACTGTTTGATTAAACGTCGTAAGATCATCACTGTTCAACAATTTTGAACCGTTAGAAGGAATTGTAAACTAAGTAATTGTAAAACAAGTTGTAATATTTTTCATTTATGTAAAAGTGGAAAATATAATTAAAAACGTGTGCGCTATGTATTATTAGGTACGTATAGCAGTGAAGTTGAATTATCCAAGTTTTCAAATTTTGAATCTTACCTTTCAATAAGTTCAGAAACGAACCAACGAAATACTTTATATTGACGTCCAGCAATTTCAACGCAGTACGAAGAGGAATTAATTTCAACGAAGAGGAATGCACTTCACGATTAGGTTCACGTATCATGGAATCGGAAATTATCGAAATGGTGTTTCAATTTTCGAATTTTACGATTTGCTCAGCTCACGCTCAAATTTACATTGATCTCTGAAGTGAATGCAACGCACACCGAGTAAAAATTAATAGTGTTATGCCAGTTCGAAATGAAAGAATACGCGAGGCATTTAACGCGACTTCTCTCTTCGACTGCACGACTGAATGTAATAGCAATTCAATATGTGTTTCGTGTCATTAAGGAAATTGTAAAAAGAGAGGAGGTATTTTAGTTATCAAACATGGTGATGAATGGTAGATATTATTTCGACTGATTACGATCGCCTCGGAAAGTTATATTAATTATTACTTCGTTCAATAGACACAGAAAATTATTAACTTTTTCATCGCTAAGTGTTTACTATTACAATGGAATATTATATTTTGTTAATTCTCCTTATTTATTAATTTCATTTGTTAAAAGGAGGATTTGTAAAAGACAAAAAAAGGATTTTGAATCAAAATTAACATAAATTAAAAATTGACAATAATTATTGATGGATGATGGAGTGAATTAAAGTAATTTACCTCGCATCATAATTAGTCAGTATAAAATACACGAATATTCATGTATTTTATTATTAACAAAGCCTGAATTTTGTGCATATTGTGGAAAATCATTCTGCTACGACTAAACGAAAGGGTGGAAACAACTTTCTAACAAAAAGCTCATAAAATATTAAAAAAAACATTTGTAAAGGTCTACCAAAATTAATACAAATGGAAATCAACAATATTGGATAATGGAGTAGAATGTTTCTCATTTTGTCTCTGTGCTTGTGGGGAAATCAATACTCGTATCGAACTCGACGAAACCTTTGCTTCATAATCATTTTATGTTATCGCATATCTTGCCCCATCGTTTATCAATTTTTACTTTATTATTTTGCTAAAAATTAACGCAGCAACGAAAAAAACACTAACATAATCAAACTCGAACCACATCTTCCTTATTTCTTTGAAGATATTCGAACCTTCTACTCTCGATTCGATTTCTTCTTTTGGAATTCTGTATATCTATCATTGTCTTCGTCTTTCATGCACAGATTTTGTGAAAATTAAAATTAAAATATCGCTAAAAATTAATCATTCTTCGACACGTGTAATGTTCAATATTTTCACAGGGAGACTTTCCTCGAATTTCCTTTCTCTACAATTCTGAAAATTTTATCTCTGTCTTTCGGATTTTTCAAAATTGAAGTAACAATGTCTTCTAAACTAACAGTTCCCCGACCTAAGCCAATATTTTTCACAGGGAATGCGTTGATTAATCGATCGAAAAATATATGACGCCGTTTGAAATAATGAAGTCTCCGAAAGCCTTACATTTCTTAATTTTTAAATTTTGCAGGTGAAGATTTACCAAGGGATTGTTGTACAATCTTTTCTATACTGAATAACTTTCGTCAACAAAACGGGAATATTCAAAGTCATCAATTCATATCGAACCATTTCATGTAGTTAAAAGCAACAGACGCAGAATTTGATAAAAATTCAGGCCAAAGTCCATTGTCTCAGCGTGGGCAAATTTTTCTCTACTACATCGTTATTACTCTTTTCCATCCAATTATTCTATGTATCCAGAATGTCTGAAAATCTCTTTTCTTTTTCTTTTTTTTTGTAAAGAGACAATAATTCGTCACTGTGATACGCTCGGAAAAAATTCTACTACTATTGCCTTCGTGTCGAATCTCCTAGGGAAGAAAAAAAAAAAAAAAGAAAATTGCAGAAGGAAAATGGAAAACGAATGGAGCAAAATCGATGAGCCGTGAAGTTAGAGCACGTCTCGTCGAGTCCCGGTCGAAAAGTCTGTCTCGTTCGATGATCGTCGGCCCAAATAGGAAGCCCCAGTAACGTTCGACTGCACGACTACGCGAACAGAGCGGAGAATTCGAGATACGTGGACTCGTGGGGCGTGAGGGAGCCCTTAGGGAATCGGGCTAATCCACCGAACGAGATTGATTTAAGAGTTTCGGCCGTTCTTCCGAGCAATTTCGAATAGTTGCACTTCAGTGTCTTTGGAGTATGCGAAACAGTTGTAACGCGTTGCAAACAGACTGCGGATTTTTAATGCGTTCAGGGAGAGTTCAAATGCTGCAAAAATATTTTATCACTTTTTAAACGCTCGCTGAATTTGAAGAATCACTGTTAGAAAGAAACGACCCTCTTCTGTCTTACGATTCTATTTTTTTTGTTTGTTTTTGTTTGTTTGTTATACTGCGATGTTTTTATTTGATTGTTCCACGAGCGTTTAAAAATATTACATTTCAAAAAAAGAACTTCTATTTTTGCATGCGCAAGAAATTATACGTGTAACATTTGCTGTACTGGCAAATATTACGGGAGAGTGGTTTAAATTAAAGGGTCAAAGATCGCTGAAAGATCTATGGAATACAGAGATATCTATACTTGGTTATTTATGACAAAGTTTATTAGACGAGATGAATTTCGATTCGAGTTTCCATTTCTTTAGACATTTTTTTCGCTCGAGAGTTAAAAACGCGCAGAAAAATCCGCAGTCTAGCTAGAAGAACGACGAGGATTAGTTTTGTAATAAAACGTTAAAAGAAACATTTAGAGAGTATTCAATGTTAATACAGCATTCTTCGAGAAGAAAGAACGTATATAATTCAGAAATAAAAATGTCAAGTAGTTCGAATAATTCAGAAGGTTGGCAGGAAGCGAAGAGAAATTTTAACAAATATTTAGAACAATAATTGTCCAAGATCAAAACCAACGGACAGTTTACCTAAAAGAGGCACACAACGTAATGGAACATCAGAGAGGTATAAAATATTTTACAATAAACGTAGAAATATTTTACAACAATTATACAGAGGAATATCTGTAATAAAATATCTAAAGTAAACTCTTGTTAATTAAATGAAATGCTTAAGCACTAAAGTAAAGCGTTAATTTAATATACGTTTACAGAGAGAGGAATATCGCGTAAATAAGAAACAGATGTTAATTTCATCAATGATCAATTGTTGCAAGTCGCTATCGATTCGATGGATTATCTACAACAGGTCAGGTTACGTATATTAATCAAAATATCAATACTGGAAAGGTTTATACTTTCTTCTTCTGGTGTGATTGACACAGAGTTAGACCTTGCAAAAATAGAGTGATCCCTGGTTGATTATTCAAGCCTCGAGGACGTGATTCAAGTAAGCGATGTAGCAGATGGCTAGTCTAAGGATCTCGATCTTCGAGAGTTTCTTCTCTGGTGGCAAGGTCGGCAGAAGCTTTCGAAGTTCTGCGAAAGCCAAGTTGAAAGCCTCCACTCGAACCCTCTCCCTGTGACAGATAATTAACGTTACGAGCAGTTACCGAGATGTTCGTCGAAAAATCGAAGAAACGTCAAATTCTGCAAACGAAGTATCCATTTCGACAATTTTCAGCAATTTTTTTAATTTAATTCAAGACAGAGAGGGGCTTGATATTTTCAAATCTCGGTTCTTTAAGAAAAAAAAAAACAAATATTAAAAACACGCACCAATTTCTCGATCAACCACTTGCGCTGGCAACCTGATTGGCGGACCGTAACGAGCGACCAAGCCGAATATACAACAATTCGCCGCTTTCTTTTTGAACTCGTCGGCGCGATATCGCCGGATTCGATCAGAAATTATTGAGAAGCGATAAATTTATTATTTTGTTTTGCCTGGGTTGTACTTAAAGCTGAGAAAATATTATGGCACGTGATTCCAGCGCAAGAGGTTGAAAGAAGAGAAACAATTCAGAGAATATGAGACAAATGTGAGAGTGTATTAAATATAAAATAACAATATGAAATAACGATAATATGATAGCAAGATATTTGGATAATTCACGAAGCCCCTACCTCGTGGCATGTGCTGTTCGATATTTTTGCGTCGCTCTTCTGCGTCGACGTCTTTCTTCCCTCGAAAGCGTGCCGGCACCAGGTGCACCAACCCCGTTTACGACCACGCCGTGTCCACCGTTCGCCATTTTGTCTTCGATCGATAGGAATTCGCGAGAAGGAAGGCAATCCTTCTTTCCTCCTTCTTTCTCTAATAAATTACCATTCAATATCTCCGCGGACAAAGGCTGCAGTCGCAGGGAACGGAAACTGAGAGCGAAGCATCCTTAATCCTCATGCTTTCAGCCTGAAATTTAACATTGTACACGTTGCTGGATAAAGTGGCAAATAATTTCTAACATTGTACAATTTCAACATTCAATCTGAACTTGCAACAAATCTGTTCGTACGATTTTACAATTTTAAATTTTAATCTTCTTCCTAGCTCTGGAACTAGTGATCTGGAACAATAAATCGTTCGTTGGTGTTATCATTTTGATAATATCGCCCGAGTTATCGCCCCGTATTGTGGTAAACGCGAGTCTCGAGGGAACGGGCGAAATTCGGAATAAAGGGGACTGCTTCTCGAGGAAAAAATAATGGATTGATCAAATATTTGCTGTACGCCGGCAAAATTATTTGCCAAATATTTGATACACGAAGGCAAGCGCAACGAACACAAAGGATTAATTCTTACGTCCACCCTTTCGTTTTAATGGAATTCTACGTAACAAATACATGGTAATTAATTGATCTAAAGTTTCCTTCACTTGATAATTAAATCTGTGAATGTTCACGAACACGACTTAAAGAATACGCTAATTTAATATACAATATATGCAACTGCTCGGTCTAGAACACAAGCTGACACGGTTCTAAAATGTTACAATGCTCGAAATGAAAAACGAAATAAGCGAAAAATAAATTTATTGTGGACGCCGTGCCGAAAGGGTTGAGACCTTTTTTTTGATTAATTGGTTAGCAATTGCCAATCAAAATCAGATAAAATTCAGAAAATTTATACTTGCAGGCAGTGTGTTGAACTCACAATCACTCACCACTCTCAGCAGTGTCATACTCACAGTCACTCAAATTAACAATATTAAAGATAACTTCGGTAAGCACTCGATTTCTCAAATTCTATTTCTTTTGAGATTAAACTCGACTCTGAAGTAGTATTACATTCGTAGTTACTCGTTCAGAGTGTCACACTTGAGTAGTGAGACTCAACTTTGAGCCATACTTAATACCATACCATAATCGATCTTTAATTATTAATAAACGTATCAAAATATTCGACGTACAATTTAAATGACAAACTTAAAATAATATTCGTTTGGACAGAAAGGTATAACCGGATCTAACACTTTAAATTATAATTCAACATCTAAATAGAGCTATAATTTTAAATGTTAAAAATCAACATTAAATATTACGATTCCTTTGCTAACTCAGCAGAGGCACGTTACGTGTCGTTCTACTTCGATTTCCCATAAATTCACAGAACTTTCGCGGTGTATAAATAAAAAGGAAGTGTATAAAAATGAACGAAACTAGCTTCAGGAGAAAGGGAACAGTCATCGATGAATAAATGAGGGAAACTAAAGGCAAAGAGAACGGTGTGAAAAAAAGAAGAAAGCCTCGATACTCAGGGGGCTCTTAAATTCCGAGCAATTCGATGAAAATCGACGAAAGGTGTCATTCTATTATTCAGAGAAGCTTCGCGTGAAACTCATCCCTTTTTAATTATTCACGCCGAACAACCCTCGGTCTCGTTCAATCTGATTCTTATGGTAAACCGGCAATTCCTATGGACGTCTTCTCGCGGTTCCTTTAAATATTTCAGGAAATTTGTCAGATTTCGATGCCCGGTTTCACTTTTATTGCCATCCTCTTTCCTCCGAATCTCACGTTTTTTCTTTTTCTAATGTAAATTTCATTCTGGACGATATGTTTGAACTGTTATAACTTTGTAAAAAAAAAAATGTCGTACAATGATCCAAATTGGTTTCATTTTAAAGCGTAATTTTTCTATCTCTGATAATTTTCTTTCAAAGATGTTTTTACACTGTGTAACTGGTGTAAAAGTTCTTTCCCTTATTTTATAAAATTATAAAATTATATTTATTTTATGAAATTATAAATTTTAGAAAATTATAAAAATTCAAATGTTTCTGAAAGCATTGAAAAAATTTTGGCTAGATGTACCGTAGTCTTGAAGATTGAAATCTTCGGAACGAGCTATACCATTTTATTTTTAATATTTTATTGATCTTTGAATATTAGAAACGAAGTGTTTCTTGAATTCTTGTCGTTTGATCCTGATACTAGAGCTCTAATTGAAATTATATTTCAAGATATGCACTGTCATATTATTTTCTCAAAATGAGATCAAATTTTAATCAATATGACAATAAAAATGTACATCTAAATACAATGGAACAAGACATATATTTTATTAATTTTTTACGTTCAAAATCCAGTATTCGATGTTACATTATCTGTAACTTTAAATTTAAATATTACAAGTGCTAACAATTTTGACTCACGCTTCATATTATATTGGACCAAAATTTGACTTGTACTCTTTTGTTCGCAGATCAGAAATATTTTCAAAGTCCCCGCAAGTCCAAGTTTTCAAGAAAATCCAGATAAAGAAGAACCCACATATACTTTAACGTGAATATATCTTTTAATTACGAACGCTTTAATTGTGAACTTTTAATTTTAAATTTAATTACAATGAAAACTTCGCCGCTGAATCACGTAATCGACGCAAACGCGAACAGTTCAGTATCTTGAAATAAACGAAATTAGTTTAGTTAAACTAAACGTAAAATAAACGAAAATTAATCGTCGCTTGTCGCGTTTCTGAATATCTCCACGAAAAAACTTACTGTTGCTTAAAAAAAAAAAAGAAAAAAAAAAACACTTACTCTTACGTCCCTAACGCTCCACCGTCACTGTCTTCATACTTCAAACACATCTCACCACCATCTCCGATCGTTTATGCCGTCTCAAGATAGAAGAAAAAAAAAGACTGTCTTTCGCCCTGTGGATCGGTGAAACACGATTACGCCGCGAGATCGACGAGGTCTCTGATAAGATCTCGTCGCGTGGGCAGGATGCACCCCCACGCGCGCAACGATTTCAAGGATCATCTCCTTGTCCCAGAAACCACGCCCCTGACGATGTTCTGTCGTTGTTTGTCGTTCACTTTCTGTTCGCTTGTCTCTCTCGTGCAGCATCCCCTGCAGTTCTCCAATGGGAAAAAGGGAAACAGGGGGTGAGACCGCCCCAAAGTGGCCGCCATTGCGTCGCTGTCGCCGGATTATGGAACGCTTCTGCCTCTCGCGGATGCGAGCATTATACGCGAATGGGTGGACCATTTTATCGATCATGCGAACAGTCCAGCTTCTGCGTGTACGGCCGCTGAATTTTTCGCTGAGAAATTTTGCAATAGCGACTTTTCAGGTCAGGTGAGTGTTGGATTATTTTACAGCGGCTAGGAAGCTTTGCTTTCGTCCGTTCTCGGTTATAGAAAGAAATTGATTTGATTGACTAGAATTACCAAAGTGATCAATTTCACGGTCATTTTTTCACGGAGATTTTGTATACTTTGCACGACGTATTTTTGGAGATTTTTTAGTAAAATATATAAACAGATGCTTGTGTTCTTTGTTGCATTGCACGTCCCTTGCACTTCAATTTCTCTATCACAAATTTTATACTTTAATCGTCGGTAATTTCAGTGTTGAATAAAAAGTGTCTTTCTTCTTTCTACAGGATTTTAGATGAAAAATTTGAAATAGGAAAATTGCTAGAAAGTGTTTGATGAAACTTTTTGACAATAGAAGATATGCTTCGGTTTTGTTTATATGTTATTTTTTACAATAATATTTTATTTGAATAATGTGTATTCAAATAAGATCCATTATAGTAATGTAACTACTTCTTTTCTTTTTTTTTTCAAATTTTTCAAGCTTTTTTGCTTTTGTAGCAAGCGGTTATTAGATAGGAGTGCTAAATAAATGTCGAATCATTACATTATAATATGTAGTACTATACATATAAGTACTGATTAAAAATATAGTACTATATTTCATAATCTGCATCTCAGAGTTTCAACCGTATTTTTTCAATGCTCAGAATCGTTTGAACGAAATTACTAATTATTAAAAATAAACTAAACGTGATGATATCACTCTTGAGAGTTTCAAGGAAAGTTGACTTCTCTTCCAATGGTGAATTATAAATTTCTATTAAAATTGAACGTTTCGACAAGCGTGAGATTGAAACACCAGTGTAAAAATCCAAGAATCGTGAAATCAAAAAGTTAACAAAAGTATCTTTTGTTAACAAAGATGCCTATTTCGAGTTGAAAAGTTTTCAAGCTAAAGGGGTGGCTCCTTGAGCCTGACATCCAAACATTGTAATTACACAAATTGTTCCGACAAATGGCAAAGATTGAACAGAAAAGGGGTTGCATCGAATAATCATATTCACACGACGATATAATATACACGCTGTGCAACACGTGTCGTTGATTCACGTCCTCGTGACCAAATATGAAACGAAGCACTTGAATCGTTCGATTCCCGATGAATGTTTCCTTTGGCCACGAGTGTCATGAGATAGTTCACGCTTCGTTGCATCAATCCTTGCCTTTTCGACGCCTTCCGACGCCCCTTCGTGGCACGTGACTTTCGAGACGAACGAATTTCAACGAAGGGTGGTTTCTCGACAGCTCTCTTTCTCTGTCGAATTCATAATAGACTTGTTTGTGTATTTTATGACCTGTGCGGTGGATCGATTGTCATTGTCGGCAACTGTTTAGAGGAGTAACAGCTTGGAAGCTGAAAATAGTAATTGAGAAGCAGCGAATGAAAGACCGTGTTGAATTGAATAAAATTGAAACGAAGGAAGATTTAATTTTCCTTCCAGTGGATGTAAAATTATTTTGTCTTTCTAATTGTTCAAATGGTTGCTAACTGTTGTGACACATCGTGTAACATAATATTGAAACATCGCACGCACATGTATTTTATATGTACTTTAATGAAATTTTTCGACTTTAAAGAAGTCAAGACATAGGTAGAATTAAAATTACGCTTTCGTGTTATGCAATGTGATAAATCGTGATAAAAAGGAGATAAAAAACAAGGAATCGAATAGAAGCGATTCGTGAAATTCAAGAAAAGCTGATGAAACTTGTTAATTAATTGAGAAGAAAGAATTTTATCTTCAAGAAAAGGATAAATGTCTCTTGAAGAAGGAGATAAATACCTTGATTGTTTTATTAGCTTTCGATATCTGAATTTTTTAATAAAATTTATCGTTAACTGCTAGAAAGTGGATAATAAACACGAGGGTGCAGCACAAACAAGGTGGTGGAACAGTCTGATCAATATTTCAGTGCCTGTTGGTATACAGGGACATGCACTCATCCTTATCGGTCGAAAAAAGGAACGTGGTGTGTTTCACCAAAAATACTATGTCAATGACAAAAATAACTGTATCTCTCGATTATATAAAATATTTCATGATTACACACTACATATAGATATACTTTTCAAACACTAAACGTGTACTGAAATATACATGCATCGAAAATTTCCTCAAGTGTAAAATAATATCAGCGAACATCAAATTGAAAAAGAAGAATCGAACTTTGCAGTTGCAAGATTTGTCATTTTATTATTATACACAACGGGACGAAGCTAGTTATTATACATAGAACATCAAGCTACTAAAGGTTTAAAAACAAATGAAATACACAGAAGATCCTTCACAAATATAAAATGGTTTCTCGTTGAAGCTCTTTCTAGCTTTTCTACGTTTCCGTGTTTTAACTAATCTGACCATAAAAATGGAGAAAGAATCGAAATTGCGTAAAACGCTTCCCAACTGGAAAATTTCGAATTTCACTATAGAATGAGACTAATTAATTCGACCTACCACCACAGATATATAATAGAAACAAATGAAATACACAGAAAGCTGAAACCTTTGTGGACACGAAATATTCTAAAAAAATTTCCTGTTACAGCTCTTTCTATCTCGCCTCTATTTCCAGCACGTTTGGCCAATAATCGTTCAATCGTAATGCGTTTCTCACAGTAGAACCAGTGGCTGTTGGATGATCATAATCGTTCAGTTGTCTGCGAGTGGTTCTCCTTCTTTTTAAATCTCGCGACGTGGGCACGCAGATGTTCAGTTTCTTCGACCATCTTGTCCTCCAGGCTCGTTTTATCTCCGTTCTAACCTCGATGTTCAGCAGACAGTAAAGCAGAGCCACGAAAGAACCCTGAAAGAAAGGAACGATTTATTATCGTCGGTGCATTATCTTCTTTTGCATTTTTTTGTTTATTTCGTTTCCTTTTCTAAATACTGAAATACTTGAAAAGAAACGAAGAACTGATCGCAGAAGAGCCAAACGAGTTCCACGCGATTATCATTGTTGTAGTAGAGGCCCAGGAATATAGTATAGTGAGCGCTGAATAAGGGTATCAGTACCAAAGTAGATTTGGCCCACCTACTGTATGGAAAGAAAGAAATTTATGTTCTTCGAGACAATGCTTCTTCATCTGTATTACTGCATTGCGATAAATACACCTCTATGACACAGTTTCCAATCAAACGAAAGTATTTGAAAATATTTATTTAAAAAATATCGAAACCCTCGATGTATAAAGTATTACGTTTGTCTGAATTACACGGGATAAATGATTGTTATATTAATAGGTTCCAATACTTTTTGAATACTTTCGAATAATTCTGTTCGATCGAATAAATATACAATAATATAAATATAATATAAATATAAATAATAAATATACAATAATATAAATATAATATAAATATAAATAATAAATATAATATAAATATAATATAAATATAATATAAATATAATATAAATATAAATAATAAATATAATTTAAATATAATATAAATAATAAATAATAAATATAATATAAATATAATATAAATATAAATAATAAATATAATTTAAATATAATATAAATAATAAATAATAAATATAATATAAATATAATATAAATATAAATAATAAATATAATTTAAATATAATATAAATAATAAATAATAAATATAATATAAATAATAAATATAATTTAAATATAATATAAATGATAAATAATAAATATAATATAAATAATAAATATAATATAAATAACAAATATAATATAAATATAAATAATATAATAAATTTCGTATTTTATTTATATCTGCAGTTCAATAATAAAAATCAAAAATTTTGTGCACCGACGAAGAATAAAGTGTTCAAGGCTCAAATTTACCTGTATTGCATCTTTTTTCGTTGCAAGTGAACCGATGTTTTAAACTTGATGAACAGGACGCGTACTATGTTGAGGAACAGCAGAAAGTTGAACTAATAACATACATTTAATCGTGTCGTCAATCGATAATCACTGTTTAGAAAGCGTTCCTGCGACGATTAATTCAGCGGAGAATTCTTTGTTTGACATCGACGATTCTAATTTCAAGCGTCACTCACCAAAATTGATATTTCAATGGGAATCCTTATGGGCAGAAATAAAGAAGGATTGCTGTGGGTGGTCCAACAATGTGTGTCTTCGATCGTTGCTCGTATTATTATCCAAGGAACGACCACGAAAACAGGCAATCCTTAATTATACAGATATAAATCACACCCTGTCTCTGCCATTTGTATTTTTAACATTATCGTGCAATTTTTGTTACACACATGATTCTTTTAATAACCCTGGATCACTTTTAAACAGTTTCTCAAACATTTTAACGTGACATTGAATTATTTCGAAGTTCAACTTTAATTGACAATTAAATTAAACAAATTAATTGAATTTTATCTTTACTCGATATGTGAATACAATGAATGTAGAAATTAATCGATCGACGAAAAATTCGTCGATACTCTCACAAGTTTGTGAAAAGAAAAAAAAAGTCGTGTTTGAGAGTTGAAACGATGATCCAATGATTTCTAAATTAATTATGCATGATTTCAATTGATCACACTCATATTTTATATCTATGTATATATAATCTTACCCCAGCCCATTAAAACATACAGATTAATGGCCGTACTATCCGCGCAAAATGCCCAAACGACCAGATTATGGAGGTACAAACCCTCCATCAGGATCCAAGAGTAATTAGCAACGATGAAATACTGCCACGCACTGGTAATAACTTTGCAAATCATCGTCTGAAACTAATTGCTTTAATTGAACATCGATTCTCGTTCATTTTCTCGTTTGTCGTTTTCTATTTATTATCATTTCGTTTTTTTAACCCACTAAGGACGTGATATTTCATTCGATAATCCGTGTGTTTAACTTTGAATTTTCGAGAACAAAAGCATCTTTGAACAAATGAATTTAGATTTGCATATTTATTTCTCCATTGTGGATGTTAACTTTTCATCGTTGTATCGATTTGACATCAAGCAGCAAATTAAGCTGAGAAAATTGAGGACGAGGATTGACATTGCGACTATAAAAGAAAATTCCACGGGTTTATCTAAATTTTACAATTTTACGAAACGTGAAAAACTCTTTTGATAAATCGCTGTTCAGTCCTTAATGGATCAATCGAGTATTTGTGTGCGCCTACGTTTCGTTGCTTGATGAAAGCGTTCTTCTCGTCGAGGTAGACGACATCCACCGTCCGTCTGATACCATCGACGAAGATCCAATCCCTGATCAGCGCCATAAACGCTCTCATTATGAAAGAAGCGAACAAATGCATGTGCAGTCTGTTTCTTGGATTTCTGAGTTTTCTAAGAGAAGAGATTGAAGAACTGTTAATTGAGATTTTAGTCGGTTGTTGACTGTTCATTTTCGTTAGGCAAGTACCTGAGTAGAGAGAAAATGATCATCACGATAACCAGCATAGTGAAGGACGTGGTGTAACCAATCTGAGAGACGATTCTGACGATGGGCAACCATTCCTAATGACGATGTAAAAATGAAGTAAAAAAGACGAAATGGAGGTAAAAGATTTTGTTTCGAACGTTAAACGATCATTAGACTACGCGTGTTCGTGCAATTTTACATTTCTATGAAAACTAATTAAAATAAAAAAAAAGGAAAAAGAAGAATGAAAGTTATTTTCACCTAGTAAAAATATATTATACTTCAAATATTTTGTCCAACGATCGTGTTTAAGTTCAAGATTCTTACAGCCAACAGCAAAGATTCAAAGTTCCCGTAGTCTTCAGAATTGCTGCTCGTCCCATTTCTCATGAAGTAACGAGCGGTGAATTCATTCGACAACTCGCACAAACTGTAATTACTCTCGGGAATATCGTTAGGATTTGTGTACCATTGGCCATTTGCGAGACAAACTTTCGTGGCCGTCGCTGTAACGCGGACATTCGACTCCAAAGTATTCGTCGCGGAGTTTAACTGGTACATCAGGTCGGTCTCGGAGGGACAGGGCAAAATAGCGGTAGTCGAGGCCTCGGTGTACGACCAGCAAAGTAAACCGTCGAAATGTGGCGGACAGTGTCGAAATTGTAACGTTGCGTTTTGTGATGTTACGTTTCGATCTGTTTGATAATATATACAAGTTAATAACATGTTAAAAATTATCTTTAGAGACTATTTTTACACTAACTTAATTTACTACTAAAAAATATATATATATTAATATTAAAATATATATATATAAATATTAAAATATATAATATTAAAAAAATACATATAAATATTAAAATATATAATATTAAAAAATATATATATAAATATTAAAAAAAATACATATAAATATTAAAAAATATTAAAAATATATATATATAATTAAAATATATACTATTAAAAAAAATATATATAATATATATAATATATAATTTATTATTAAAAATTATCTTTAGAGACTATTTTTACACTGATTTAATTTAATTTAATTAAAAAAATGCAAGTACAACAAGGTATACTATAATAAACTGATTCGTCTCTAATTTATAGAATACGTATATGAACAAATATAAATATGTATATATAGTGTTCACAATGTTCGCGATAATATTCATTCATTCAAAGAAGTATTTTTACCTAGATAAAACATTCTGCAATTTTATTAAAGCTGCAATGAGACAACTGTCATGAGTGATGAAAATAATACAGAGTATGAATAACCATATTGATATGGCTAAAATATTTTTATATTTGTATAAAATATCTTGTAATTGTACATATGTTTAAATTTGTTCCAAACTTGGCCAAACCTGATCACGATAGTGATTAATGAAATATCAAAATGTAACATGTATTTGTGATACATTATAACGTATTATATTTGTAAATATTTGTTCTCCAATAAATGTTTGAATATTTTCGTCAAGATATACATACGTATATTTATTTAAGGATGTATTATATATACATTACATATCGCATCATAAAAAAGAGACCAAACGTGTTTCTTTGTGTTCGTTCTAGGCAGTTCTTTGCAATTTTCATTTCTTCATGCATTTTTTCATTGTCTCTTTTCTTTTTTCATTCGACAAGTACAGGGAAAAACGAGTAATCATTAGTCGTATTTGTTGACTTACACTCAGTCATCAATCCGTTGCATTTCTTTTTCTGTTCGATACAGAAACGTTCCACGTTCGACATTGCGTTCATCTTCACTTCCGGTTCCATTTCGGTCGTGATCATTTCTCGAACCAATTAATAACACTTAATATCGTTGAAAAATCTCCAAATTTCTTAAAAATCACGATGGTTGAAAAGTCTGAGGTGAAAACTCAACAAAATTTAATAAATGTTAGGAAACGTTGTGAGGAAGATCAGTGTTATGGAAAAAATATACTTTTAAAGTACTATCAATGGAAAGAGCGAGTGAATAGCACAGGAATATCGATGTGAACCATCTGAAATCTGGAATTGAAGTGACCAGTCAATGGATTAGATGGCTATGCCTCGCCCTTCTTGGTGTACTTCTTGGTATAGTTACGCTATAGTCACCTGGAGAAGAGACTCGTTTCCAAGTAGAACGAGTCAGTCACTAGTCAGCCAAAAAAAGTTTCATTTTCGTCTCCACTGCCATGAATTTTCTTTTAATATAATTAATATGATTAAAATTATGCTAAATAAAATAATTTAATATGAAGTTTAACATGAAATAATATCTTTTAATATAATTAATTAATATGAAGTAATATCTTTTAATTTAATGAATTATATTATATTAAAAGATATGAAATAACATCTTTTAATGTAATAAATTAATATGAAGTTCAATATGAAATAATATCTTTTAATATAATTAATATGATTAAAATTATGCTAAATAAAATAATTTAATATGAAGTGGACGAACGAAGAATAAAATGATTATACGAGAGAGATACGATAAACGAATTTTCATACATTTCTTGATTTGTATTGTACTTGGCAAGTTAGGCGAAAATAAAAATTGAAACAGAGAATAACTGAGTAAACTTGAAAGGAAATGATAAATCTATTTGTAAAATAAAATGAAGTAATATTACTTCAGTACGTTTACGTCAATTATGTAATTGATATTGATTACAATTATCAATATTAACCATAATTATAATAAATTGTCCTTCGTCTTCGAACAATGATGAACAGTTACAAATAATTCTGCTGGAATTACAAGTCATCGATAATGATGTATCTTCTTAAAAAAAAAAAAAAAAAAATTGCGTACAACAAGGCGATGACACAAATGTCATCTGCTTTCTGGAAATATATGTTATACAATTTCAAAGATAATTGCAATGAAACAAATCGACTGGGACGATCCATCCATCAAAAGAATGATCGTTTAGACAGTCACTCGAGGGTCTCAGCCAATAATGATAAAACCACCAAGGAGCGATCGATCAAATTGTGCCAGCAGACACTGAAACCACTACTCTGTAAATCAAATAATTCAAAAAGCGGAGAACATTTATCGATCGTATAAAAAAAGAGAAAAAACATTCTACTTTTCTGAGCAGAATAGAAATAGTGACAAAATCACAATTTTTTAATCAATTAATAAACCAAGACAACGTCTCTATCTTCGAGCTCGTACAATCGAACGAAATTCATAAAAAGAAATTCTACTTTTCCTACACCTGAGTAAAATAAAAATAATAAAATTACACTCGACGTACGATTTTCTAATCGATATTCATCAAAATAACATCATCGTTTATTTTCGAACGAAAGACACGCAAAAGTTCCAGAGCTTTAATTGTAAAATTCTTTTGGACAAAATGGAAGGGGGAGGGAGGAAGGCAGAAGATTGTCCGGGGTACAAGAAAGAAACGTCGACAGGCCGTGTATTCAAAATTTCGTTTTTATGTTAAACTTACACCAACCACACTTTACAACAGATTTCACTTTTCTTCGGGAAATCATCCGCGTGCAATTCTCACCGTCTCTCCCATCAGCTCCCAGCCTTTCCAAACATCGAAACAATTTTCACAAACAACGTTCTAAACTATCTCTCACCCTTTACCACAAATCCTTTACAAATTCTCCCAAGGGAGAACGCAACACGCGCAAACAACGGATGATTCTGCGCGCCAGATCCAACAGGGGTGTCGAGTCATTTAAAATTACTTCTAATTTACAGCCATCGATATCGATAAGTTGTTAGTAAGTACATACGATTCATTCTCCCTCCCATTATCGTTCTACTTAATTGTCTACCTGCTCTCTTCAGCAACCTCCAATACGATGATCTCTCGTGTTATTTACAAATGTCTCCACGACTATACTCCGTTATAGTAGGCCATTTTTGCATCTCTCGGGGGAGGGGGGGAGGAGAGATTATTGTTTCGTTATTGTAACACATCAAAACGAACGCGTTCTCGCGTTTACGATTGATTAGAAAAGACACGAAGAAGCGCGGATTCGACAATACGCTCGGTGTTTCACGGATCCGCGACGATTTTCTTCTCGCGAATCGTTGAACGACTCTCGACTCGGATGTTCCGTTTCTTAACTTCATCGCCGTGGACGACGAGTCAACTGGTCGTCGGGGAAAAATTGGAAAATTGATACCACTTGACCCCTTGCGCTGGAATGACGTGCGTCGAGAATTTTGCGTCCTGAATTGCAACATTTTCTCAGTTTTACGTTACATTTAAATGTAACTCAGGCAAAACAAATTACTTCTCAATAATTTCTATCCAGTGATATCGTACGAACGAGTTCAAATGAAAAGGAAAGGGACGAATTATTTCAATACGGTTCGGTCACTCGTTATGGTCCGCGCATCCAGTTTGCCAGCGCAAAGGGTTATGACGAAATATCATTATATATTTTAGCGACGAAAGTGGTTCGTGAAAGTATTCGAGCCACTTATCATACAGAATTTTTACACATACATTTCTTCCTGTTCATCATTATGTATTATGTAAGAATTATTACGAAAATTCGCTACGATTCTAAAATAGTTATTCATTGCATTGTGACTATTTCAACAGAGGCAGGGAAAAATTCTTCTGTTAAGTGATGATTCTAGATAATAACAACTCGTCGTCCACGGGGCGAAGAGATTAAGAAATAATCGCGTTTATAAATAATCTAACAGAACTCCTTCGTGAACTGCTTCTGTTACAAACGGGAAAAGTAATTATCGTACAAAGTGTCTTTTACGGTGTCTCTTTGGCTTCGAGGGATACGCGCGTGCTGCCAAAGAATGAAATTCCTTGAAACGTTTGCTCCCGGTTCGGGCACGGGTTTTATTTTATTAACTCGTTCGTGTTCCTCGTCCGGAACATGATTTTCGAATTTTCGAAAATTCCACACCGTGTGGAAAACTTTCGGAAATTTTCTGCGAGTCTTTTATGTAGGACCTACATCTGGCAGTTTAAAGAGGGAAGCCTACGTGGAATTGGCGTCATTTCTCTGTTCACTGACAACCACCATGCTTCGCTTTATCGTGTGACGAGTAATAGTGTCTTTGGTTCCTGATCAGATTCAGGAATTCTTTAAATCGACAGTGTCCTATGTTGAACGTTTTTCTCGCTCGTTTATCAAGTGTACGAATTGTCTTTTCTAATTTCACCACCTTGAATGTCTTTTCTATTACTATATTGACCAGATTAAGCGTGTGTGTGTATATATATATATATATTTAACATAGATTACTATACTAAATGTAGACGTTTTTAATTGATTTTTTTCGTGGTACTAATTGTTTATAGCACAATTAATTTAAATTTATTATTTAAACGAATAAATAATAATACACTGATGTGTGAATCAATGTATTATTTAGAAATATTCCTCGATTTAAACAAAATGTTCCCCTATAAATTTTTCAAGCGAATATTCTACAAATTAAAATATCACATGGACACACATATATCATTGGAAGCATTGTTAAAGAGTTATGATAAAAATGAGGGATGAAAAACGTGCGCCATATACTCTGGTACATGTGTAATAATCCGAAAAATTAAAATTAAATAAATGAAACGCACGTTTATAATAATGATTAAGATAATAATAACAATAATATAAATGATTAAGATAATTAATATTAAAAAAATTCTGCCAACATTTCAAATCTCTGGTTAAATAAAATTTCTATGAGAGAGATCGGCACAATTATTTGATACACACATGATAAATGATATACATATTTAACTCGAGATCGGGAGATGAGATGTGCGACCTATTCATTGTGATTTCAGAGTCCACTCATTACTTATTAATTTCCTCAATAGTTTTTATAGAGAAGAAATAGATACATACATAACTTTCATCAAAGATCGTAAAAAAGATGAATAAGTATTTAACATTTCAGCAATAAATAAATTCTATCGCTTTCGCCAACAATTAAATGCTAGAAATCTTCACGGACAAATTTCGAAGCGTCGGAAAGACACTCAGAGGTGGTGCGGTCAGACGAATCGGATGGTAGGACGCGTCCAAGCGCTGCCCTGATTATTCGAAATATATACGAAAGGACGATGCGGCGATCTCGATTCCCGCCAATCGAAATCTCTAAATAGGAACGCGCACGATGTCTGCACGTGAAATCGCGCAACAACGAGTAGAATTACATTCGGAAAGGCACTTCGAACGAAAAGTATGGCATCGAGCTGCGACAAGGCATCGCGCAAACCGTTTTCTTTTTCTTTTTTTTTAAAAGTCGCGTCTCTCTATCCTTGAATTGACCTGGTTCATTTCATCCCTTCCTACAGTCTGTCGTACCAGACATCTTCTCTACTTGCAATTATCAAACGTTCTTCTTAGTAGTACCACAGGGAGAAAAATGAAACCCAAGAACATGTTACGTCGTTGTGCCTTCAATCTCTTGGCAAAGATAACGAGAAAACGAAAAGATCCAATAAAACGCTCGAAAAGTTTCCTTTCTCCTTTGTAAATAAACTTTCCAAACAGATCCGCTTTTTCCATCCGCTTCTAGGAAAAATTGATTCTGGCTCCGCTTTTGACGATCTTTTCTTTCGAGTACTCCGCCTCAGGTCTCCCCTGACACACGTCTTTCTCACATCCACGTATTCTACGTACAATATCTTCGTAGAAGGATCGACCGTCCTTCCTCTTGCTCGTTTCCACCGTTCGCGTGAACTAGCGAGAATCGTTATCGAACAGCCACCGGTAATCTCGAGGAACTCGGTCTCGTCGCGGTTAAAACGATCGACGAGCTTGCTTCGACTGGGATGTTACGATGATAATTCGTAAGCTCTAAGTGCCCCAGCGAAAATGGCGGATAGATCCACTTTGCGTAACGTCTTCCTCTCGCGTAATCGTCGTGTCCACGCGTGCAGTTCCAGCCGAAGGCGATTGTATTCGGGCTAGCGAACGGTCAGAGGCATTTGCCGGGATTCTGGGAGCACCATTGCGGCCACATGGCTTCTGTTTTCAATCCACGGTTCGTTAGAAGCTCCATGTGTGCGGCCAGCCTCGTGTACACGCTCTCGTCCGTCGAGTAACCGTTGGTTGGCATGTCGCTCCTGCGCATAAATTTAGTTTTCGTTTGTTATTAGGTTGAAGGGCTAGGTGTTTGGGATGGCAGGTGGTGAAGTTGTTCTATCAACCTCTTGCGCTGGACCATTTTCTCAATTTTAAATACATTTAAACGTAACCCAAATAGGCAAAACAAATGATAAAGTCTATTACTTCATAATTATTTCTATCCAATGACATTCATACCGACGAGTCCGAAAGAAAAGGAAAGCGACGAATTATTGTATACGGTTCTGGTCACTCGTTACGGTCCGCAATCAGTTGCCAGCGCAAGTGGTCGAGGATAATACATAAGGCAACGGTAGCAACATTCAGATCTAGCAATATCCGAATGTTCTTGTAACTAACCATAACCTTTCGGCGAGGGCAGATGCCCTAGGCCATAGTCGAGGTCCCAAGGAAGCATCGCCAATCTGCTCGCTCCAAATAGCCGCTTCTCCGCCCAATATCAGGCTCAAGTGTTGCTGAGGGTAATCCCTCCAAGGTCGATGATTGTAGACAGTCTGCCAGGTACGATACTCGCCGCAGGCGGCTTCCCCAATTTCCCTCCACTTGCCAAACCCGCAGTCCAGATACCACGTGTCCACGTGAGAAAGAATCACTCTGAAACCGTCCTCGAGAAGATCCGGCGTCTCCGGCCAGTTGCTACCACCCCACGATTGGATCACGTGGACCTTCGGGTCGAAGTACATGGTGATGTAAGGCCTCTTGGTCAACGGTGAGCTCCAAAGGATCACAGCCTTCGGCGTTTCGTCGTGGTTGGCCTTGACCAGCCTCTGCAACATCTTCGTCTCGAATTCGGCCCACATCGCGTGGTGATCGGTCATGTTCTGCGCTTGCATCGCGGCTGTGATGTTTCCGTACTGTGCCCAGCAATCGAGATTCACCTCGTCACCGCCAAGGTGCACGACGTCGCGGATTTCGGTCAGGTCCAGCAGCTCCCTGTACAGCCCCTCCAGTATTCGATAGGTGTGCTCGTTGATGGGATTCAACTGGCCGCAATTCGGCTCGCCGCAATACGACGACCATGGCTGCTGATCAACGCAGAGTGCCAGCTCCCCGTAACCGTACTCCGTCCCTGAGCAAATTAACAAGATCAACGCCGCGGCGTGAGACGACGAGTTTCACGATGCGAACAGGCCAGATGGCCAGACGCGAGAGTTTGGCCATTTCGGCTATTACGAATAGCAAGAGTCGGAGCCGAGGAGTTTGGAGAGCGAGAAGAAGTTTTGAAAGGAGGAAGGATAGTAAGAGTAAGGATTTGTCGATTGTAGTTCAACAGGTTACAATATTCTAGTGTCTAGTCAGTATTTTATAGTATAATATCTTATAATACTATACTATATATACTTTGTAGTATAATATCTTATAATACTATAGTATAATACTATAATACTATACTATATTATACTATATTATAAGTGTAACTATATTATACTATATTGTAGTATAACTATATTATACTATAATTATAGAATAACTATATTATACTATATTATACTATATTATAGTATATCTTATAATACTATAATACTATACTATAAAATATTATAGTATATCTTATAATATATTATAGTATATCTTATAATACTATACTACAAAATTTTATATATCTTTAATACTATACTACAATATTATGCCTATGATATAGTGTACTACAAAATAAAATGCAAAATATTAATATCCAAAATACGACGTTAGTAGGCATTATGTAAAAGTACAAAGAGCAATTTATAATATCACCTAGCGATTTGTGCTGTTTAAAATTGTTTGTCGACATTTATTCATCTTAAGAATTATTCTAAAATGTTCACAGGATACCAGATATTGTTCATTAACTCGTTCACACACCATAATGTTGCAATATTACATAGCTATATTTCTACATGTATAAGTTTTTATTATGTATACAAAAATATAAGTTCTTCTTCGAATATTTAAAATAATACTTTGTACACATTGATAAACATTTACCCGGAAAAATAATAAAATAAGAGCTGAAAATGCCATTTGTTGCCAATAATAGCCAACTATAACCAAATATATTTTTGACCGTCGACAATAGCTCAATCAAAATAAAACTCAGATTATCGATGATAACCAATAATAATTCCGGATATTTATATTGTTTAATAGTAATCAAAATTAAATTTCTGTCGTCGATGGCCAGTGACAGTCAAAGAAAGAAGGTCATTCATAAATGGCTTTCCACTATCCAAAAATAATTGAAATTTCATTGAAATTCGTCGACCACCTTCCATTCAGGTTTCATTCGCACAAACATTCATTTCCGCTCAATGGCACTGTACCGAAAAATATTCATAAACAACTATTACAACTGATATTTGTAAAAAAAAAAACGCTGAAAACTCACCCCATTGCCAGCCAGCGCCAGCGTGCGCCGGAGAGTCGATCTCGACGAGTATCCTGATGCCGCGGATCCTCGCGTAATCCGCGAGGTCCTTCACGTCGTCGGGCGTGTAGATCTGATCGCCGCTGTAGGCGCCCCATCTGGCCATTTCCGGGAATTGGGCCGAGTCGAACGGGAAGCTCTGCGAGTCGGATAAATGCCAGTGGAAGGTGTTCAACTTGGACGCGGCCATTCCGTCGATCACGCGTTTCAGCCGTTCAACCGGGAAGAATTGTCTCCCGGTATCGACCAGCAGACCCCTGTAGGGGAACGTCGGCTTGTCCTCGACAGAGGCGCGAGATAACACTCGCAAGGCACCTTCCCTCCCGGCGGTCTCGTCCCACCAGATCATTTGACCGAGCGTTTCCAAACCGTGTCTGGCGCCGAAGTAACTCCTCCCGGTGATTCGCGCCTCGAGGACTCTTCCTTTCGGCATCAGCTCGAGCGTGTACGACTCGTCTGTTTCTAAACTCGGACCGGTCGGTCTCCCATTCCCGGCCGACAGATAGATCACGAACACTTCCACGCCGGATCTGCTCTTCGCGTTTGCTACCTTTACCAGGCTCCTCACGTTACCTGCAAACGAAAGTTACCAATAGTATAGATCGCGGATTTTTCTGCATTTTCAGAAGTTTCAGTGGCGAACTTGTATGAAAAATCTGACACGATTCAGAGTTCGTACAATCAGACTCTTCCTCCCTCTACTAGTGATTTTTATATATAGTTTGTTGTTCAAACAGCTACCAACAGTTCATTTAATTGGATACTGGCTAAAATTTAGTTCAAATGAATGGAGTTCTGTTGCATTGCGAATAGGATGAACGAACAATTGAGTTGCATATCTGTTAAAGTTAGTACAATTTATATTTAGTCCCCTGGATGATGTTATACTGTAAGTGAAGTGTTTCATTACTGGAGTCATACATCCAGGAAACACAATTCTAGTGATGTTACGATCTTGATTAAAAGTCTGGTACAGCGTTTAGCGAGAAACGTGAATCAGCATGACGAATGCACATTTTACAAGTCATTTTTGGTGGATTCTTAATAGTGAAAAAAATGAGGCATACTTGTGATTACGACAAAAGGCTAGAAGAATAATTTACTCTAGGTAGACTTATAATTTTCATTCGATATAGTTGCAGTTTATGCTTCGTTCACGTAAAAAAAAAAAAAAAAATTGGCAACTAAAAATAAGTTTGAAACATAACGAGGCAATGGAAAATTACGTAGGTAAATATAATTATTAATCATAAAATCACAGATCCAATGATCTGTTTAATCCGTTAGGGACGATTTTCACTAGAAGTTAATCCAATGGTACTAAATTTCATAATTATACGCAAATGAAATCAATACGTGACCATTTACTCTCTCACAAATGATCATTAAATCAGTCTAATGACATTCGTTGCTATGATAATCAATAACATTGTTAATATCATTAATAATAGCCAAATTAATTAACTTGTACAATGAAAATGATCGAAAAATCGGAATCTGATCCTCCTTTTAACCCTCCGTGTTAAACTGGTTGCGCGGACCATAACGAGTGACCGAGCCGTACGAGTATCACTGGACAGAACCTATTAAATATACATGAAAAAACTGAGAAAATGTTTGCAATTTGGGACGAAAAACTCGCGACGCGGGTGGCACGTCATTCCAGCGCAAGAGGTTAAAAGGAGAATTCACTTCGAAACGAAAAGTCGTGGAATCTTCACCGATGAAAACGTCCTTGGCGTGCTCCAGCAGGTTCTTCGTTTCCTGATCGCTGGTGTTCACCGTGACGAATTCGATTTGCTGCAGATGTATGATCACGCTGTCTTCGCCGAGGAACACGTTTCCGGTCGGCCTTGGCCAGAGGAGCCTGGTGTTCCCTCCGCAGAGAGCGATACAGCTGGCCAAAGAAGTCCTCGACGATCTGACCGCTCTCCTCTCGCATCTCCCGGCGACGCAAGCCCACGACCACGGACTCTGAAACGTTCTACGATCCAAACAGAGAGAACGTTAAATTAAATTCGAAAACGAAACACCGACGAACACAATTGTTTTGTCACCATTTCACCCTGCGTGTGAGTTTCCCATACGACATTGTATATTTCACCATATATCTCAACAAGCACCAAATTGGATAATTTGCGATAAAAAAATAAAAAAAAGACACAGCTAGATAAACAGAGAGGACCAGAAGCAGTACGTGTTCGATGGGGATAGGGATATATATGTACGTACACACACGAGGGTAGTTTTTATATTTTAATGTCGATATTTTTCCTCTCTTCTTCTTTTTTTTTTCCTAAAGAATTTAAATTTGCGAAATACAGCAAAGACTTCTCCTCTTACTGGTTTTAATCGAAAACTGTCGAAAACTAGCTCTATAAAGTTATCTTAAAGTTTGTCTTGCCTTTGTTTAACATCATTGTTTCTTTTGGATTTTCATTTGTCACAGCTATAACTAATTAAGAGTTAAAGCTGTAATTAATGTATACAACTGTGGTGTAATAATTACAAGGCAGTGTATTGTCTGTCAAGTACTCTGACAACGAATATTATCTACAACTCTGTTTCAAAAATGTTAGATACCGTAAAGATTCAGTTTTGTAATGGAACCTGTGATTCCATGTTACAAAATAATACAACGTTTTAGAAGAAGAATATGTCAAGGAGCTGACGAGGGTTAATTAAATATAGATTATCTTAAAACACTTTAGATTATTGATATTCAATGTAAATAATAAAAAATACTCGTGTATCTCTTATTTTATTGCCGATATTGTCGAATTAATCGGTCATTCAATTTATCAGATGTTGATATTCAGGCTCTCCCAAGAGGCAGTGTAATAATGTCTGAGATTACTATAATAGAGATAAAATAATTTACTATTTAAGCTCGAATAGAGATAAAATAATTTACTCTGAAATACTTCGAACTGCCTCGATTATATCACAGAAGTGTGTTTGTACCTTGAATCATCGATTTTAAAACGAACGATGCGTTTTTTTATTTATTGGAACGAATTTTGAAATTTATACAATGCTGCGTCGTAAAACTTCTCCGAACGCGGAGAAAGATCTAAATCGACTTTGAAGCCTATCAATAGTTCTAAGACTTTTAAGAGATTTAACCCTTAACTGGTATCGTTGGGCAACCTTAACAATTTAAGCTTCGCGTTATTCAATTTTGGAAACTTCAAACTTGGTCTAATTTCATTACTTCAAACTAAATTTCTGCTCGAAGGAACGAATATAAAGTGAAACTAAATGTGAAGAAATTTGAAAAGGAATAAAACTGAATCTGAAACAAATATTCCGACAGTAAAAAATAAGAACTACCTTAATGTATAAGAGAGACACAACGTAAGAGAACTCAATAACACGAACAAAAGTGTCGAGTGCGTACAGGGAAATGGCGCAGAGCTAGGAGAAAGTTAAAAAACGGAGAGGAAAATCGTGAAAAAGAACTCGTAGAAGGTGGTGAATTCTAAAATCTACGGGTGTGAAAGTAATCCAGTAAAATTAAAACCAAGAGGAATAAACTGATCCGATTGCCAATCTCTCTTAGATGTAACAACTGTTTTTGATTCAGGTTTTTCTTACTTCACGTGACTTTACTTTTGTTTAAACTGCGAACTATGATATTTATGTTCTCAAAGAGTGAAAGTTGAAGGACACGATCGAATCTAAGCTCTCCCTAATATTGAATTTAATTTCAAAAGTCATTTGAAATTTGCAGTTTGAGAACGATGATTAATGAATTAAGAAAGAATTAAGAAGAAAAGAAATAAATTTCTTTCTTCTGCGTAAATTTCGTACTTTTCTCCTCGCGAATGATTTCGTTTTTGTTTTAGAAATTATAGATATGATTCACTTGTTTTAACTTTTCTACTAATTTTTAACTTCAGAGTCACAGAAATTTCTGGCTCGAGTACGAACGCTTGGTTAATAAATTAAAGAAGAATTAAAAAGAAGAGGAGCAGATATAATTCAGTTCAATTAATTTCCAGAATTCATCAAGAGATGCGCCGGTTGTTAATTTCTTCTCCAGGCTGCGAAATTAATTCAATGAAATCTGTCGGATGGATTTTCAATTAATCAGACAGCGAGCTGTAAACAACAGCCTGGAGAACCACCGAAGCAAGGCTCGAGCACGAAGCTCAAGTGAAATGATTCAGACAGATTGATATGATTCTTCAGAAAGCGGGAAACGCAAGTCGAACGAAAACGAGGATCGGACGCAGTGGCGCGTGAATATACAACTTAGAATATACATACACGTATTACCATAAAACAGATAACATCAGCCTGATAAATATTCACATAATCGAAGGATAAATTACGAAATCACAAATGTTCATGCAAGCACGAAGAATAAAATTCCTCGAAGAATTATCTCGTTAGTACGAAGATGTTGAGGCACGGTTCACGGTTCATTGGTAACTCGTGCAAAAATTATTCAGTTTCACCAAGCGTGTCCCAGATCGAGGAAGGATTAATTTTGGCTTGATCGTTACCGAGTGGACGCGTTAATGGATACGTAATTGTTAATTCGTGTAACTTCACGACTGTTGAAAAAAAAAAAGAAAGAAAGAAAAAAAGAACATGTATGGACTAAATAAGCTGTCTAGAGACAAGTCACGCAACGACGATGATCTACTTGCGTTTGAAAAATTTCAATATTGTTTTCAATACTGTTTCACAACATTTCATCATGCAGTCGTAATATTCACGATTATATACATTACGCAGGATTGTTTCGTACATCTATTAACTAGCTAGACAGTGTAACGGATTTCAGCTGAAAAGATGCTGAAGTAAATTTAATTATTGTCATTTGAATATTGTAACATATTTGACTACGAATTAAAGATTATTTATCCTACCGTAAACGAGTTAAACACACCTGCTAAATATTCAATATTCACCTCAAAGGTATTCAATATTCCTCGCCGAGGTAATGGCAAATTGAATATTAATTACTCGAATATTCGATATCGATATTCTACACCTTAACACTGAAACTACCGAAAACGGCCGAAATGACCAATTTATAATTTTCGTTGTTACTTACTTTACTTAGACGTAAAATAGTTTTAAAGACTTGAATTGTTAAAATTAAATAATTTTTAAATTATTTTCAAAGATTTGAATTATCTTTCATAAAATATACGAACAGAGGTATAAAGTTATAAAGTTTCGCTATTCTTTTCGTCTTCAATGACTGTTCGTCGGTAAGTTCTAGTTAAAAAACGATACAAAAATCATCCCTCCCCGATAGAAATCGGTATTTGTCTCTACGACGAAAAGACCAAGCGAAGCCAGACCATTCGATGTATATAGAAGAGACAAAAGGAACGGAGAAAACGGACATGCAGAGGAAGGTGAAAGCAATTGGACACGCCAAAGAACAGCCGATGAAGCGGTTCATCCCTCGGGGGAAAGAAGAAGAGAAGAAATCACGGATGACGGTTGGACATGAAGGGACAAAACTTTATATATTTGTTGTGGGGACGGGGGAAAGTGGCACGATAAAAAGAAAGAAAGCTTCCTTTAGCAAGTAGACAGGCATCTCTGTCCCAGGGTCCAGGAAGACGTTACCTAGGCTCTTCCAGATACTCGTAGAGCCGTTCCTCGGGTCTCTTGGTGCTTTCATTACCGACCAGGAAAGTAACCAAGCCTCGTTGCAACTCCTTCAGTCTTTGATGTCGATCACCCGAGGTTGCGTGCGGAAGGTAATGAACGAAACGAGATATGCGGCAACAAAAGGTAGAAACAAAGATTAAATAAATAACGGCTCGTCCGATTTCTCGCGCGTCGATGACGATTCTCTCTTTGGGTACATACTCTCTCGGGATGCGCCGAATTTTAGTGTGCTCGACGAATTTTGACAATTTTAGCATTCTATAGGTAAGACTGAAATATGTAGCGAAAATGCTTCAAATGTAAAGCGTGACGAATACGATCTTCCTGGTCTTCAAATCTCAAGTCTTTACGTTCCATAGTTGTGTTACGCTTGAGAGCAACAATTTCCAATGCCAAAGGTATTTTAAATTCGATTACAAGAATTGAAGGAACGTATGAAGAAATTCGACAAAGTCGATGTGAAATTTGGTTCACGGTGAATTCAACAGTTCGATATCAATTCGATATCATGGTATGATGCTGATATAATATAATCGAAATGTTGTACATACGAGTATGTACAGGTGAGATGAGTTTTTGCTACACATTATTTTAGCCTTGTTTGATGCCTATAAAACACGCTGACAATGAACACTAAAATGCGGGACACCTTACGATGGTAATAGTTGACGAAAGTATTCGAACAGTTGTGAAGGAATTTTCATGAAATCATGTTTATGCAATTGTACATTTTTATAAGGATAATTAAAGAAAGATAACCTAGGTAAAAAATTATTTCATCTATTAACCCGCCGAGTGCTTAAGATTAAAATTAAAGAGCCTGGAAATTTAATACTGAATGAACAGCATGTATACATGTTATTCTTTTCGAACTTTGATAAGTGAATTATTTATTTTATTTTGTTATAAGATTATCAATGCAATATTTTAGTGTAAACGAAACACTCAAAGCTTAATGTTTCGAAAATAAATAGGATTATTCGAGTGGTTTATTTTAAATTATTTACAATATTAGACATTGTACTTATACAGAATATTCTCAAATTTCATTGACACTTAGCTAGATATATATTTTATATTTATATTACAGATGAATATGCATACAAAATATCGAAAGTTAGTCAAAATTTTTAGTAAATGAAACGTCTTAGTCTTCAGCATTACTTTAGTCTTAGTTATGTTTGTAAAATTGTTAGTTTACATAAACATTATACACATAATTTAGTGGATGTATACGTGTAATACACTTGTCAAAGATTTTTGTAACAGATGTTCAAATACTTCCGTGAGTCGATGCATGTATAATGCATATTTTCGCTTTGCTATTTCTCGTTAATTTTCTAATTAATTATTTTTCTAATTAACTTTCTCATTAATAAGAAGAGTGAAAAAGAATGAAGTTTAGTTTTTACGTACACTAAAATATCTTTAATTGATTTCTTTAATTTATCGTGATAATTGCACGTGTATTATATTATGTTAAAATGCGAGTACGATCTGAGCTCACCGAATAAAATGGTTTTAAATTGTCACAATATTCACAAAACAATAGTAATATCACATAAGTTGTAACATTTTCATAAAATATAAATGTCAAGATGACATGTACGTAATTTTTCATAGAAATTTTATTAATAAAATTAATAACGGCAAGAAACTGAAATGACTTTTCGTAAAATATACAAAAAATTTCTTCCATTGTCCGCAATTTAACACAAGATTTAAATAACATTCGTGGTATACGACAAACTCGAGAAACTCCGAGTTTAATTACCAATACGGAAGAAAAAAAAAAAAAAAAAGAGAGAAACTTCATCCCCTTTTCCTCCAAGAAAACCAATAACCCCAATTATACAAATAGCAGAAAGATAACCGAACAAACGATCGTGTCGATGACAAAACACGAGAAGAAAAGAATGAAAAGGACGAGACGTGACAATGAACGAAAGAAAGAAAAAAGAAAAAAAAAAAAGAAAAAAGAAAAAAAGAAGAAAAAAAAAAAAAGAAAAAGGCCTGAAGAAACCTTGAAGTTCTTTGCCGTCTAATTAGATTCACGACGACCGTCAGGAACGTGATAAGATCGTCGTCGATGTGTAAAAGAATGTACGATCGAGTGGCGCCCCTTCTACGATCCGTGGCGTCTCGAGAACGACACGGCCGACCATGTGCAGCTTAATAGGCGATAATAGAGAGCCGAAGGAGTATCGACTGGTTCGGCTGGGTTACTCGTGCATCGTTACAACATATCGCGTATGCTCACCGTCGTGACGAGAACGGCTGAAGGGAAGCAAGCGGCGGAGCGTGCGCGTACATGGCGATCAGGAGGACCCCGGTCATCAGGACCAGGAAGAGAAGGATCTTCCTCATCCATCCGCTCGGCACGCTGCCCACCATCCTCGCCAGTCTGCAACAAAAGTCGATTAAATAAGATTGATTTATATTATTCAGAGATTAACTTGAGTTGCATGTATTCGCAAATCGATTTATATTTAAATCCCCGTGGATGATGTTACACGGTAAGTGAAGTGTTTCATTATTGGAGTCGAATTCTAGTAATGCTATGATGTTGATTAAAAGTCTGGTACAGCATTAAGCGAGAAACGTGAATCAACACGACGAATACACATTTTACAGGTCATTTCTGGTTTTTTGGATTTTTAATAGTGAAAAAAAATGAAAATGAGCCACATGGGGGGGCATACTTGTGATTATAAGAGGTAGAAGAATAATTTATTCTAGGTAGACTTATAATTTTCATTCGATATAGTTGCCGTTTATGCTTAAAGAAAAACTGGCAATTAAAAATAAATCTTTTAATATGATTTTTATTTAACCGGTACCGGTACAAATTTAAACTTCGAACAAACGTTAACAAAAATTGCAAATATTTCACACGTATCAAATAGCGTTTGCATAAGTAATAACAACGGTGTTTAAATTGCCTTCGAGTTGCTTTACTAACGCAGAACGTTATCCAACAAAATATCGTACAGATTTTCTTAGCGAATTTTAGCGACTTGTTTTCTAAGACAACCATTACGCTTTCATTTGCGCTGGTCATGAACGAAGCCATAAACTGCGGATCCCAGTACGATAAATCGGCTTACGTTTAAGCCGAAATAAACCCGACAGAATTTCCAAGCCTAATCTCGTACCCAGAGATCAAACAATTGACCAACTACAAACAATCTGACAGGGGACGATCAGCAAATTCTTTTCGCAATTCCATTTTCTCGTCCATTTATTATTGGCGAATGACACGGTGACAAACTTGAGAAAAATGAATTTATCGTGTAAATAATAATATGTCTTCAGAATAATAACTAATACATTAAATAAGAATCTAATTAATTTAATATATTAAATGAGAATCAATTTTAACTATATATCAAATCAAAAATCAATCATAAGTAATATACCTGATTGTTCGTCGTTTCATCGTTAGTTTACTGTTAAAAGAATTATATTACTCTTACTTTTTATTTTCACAATAAGGAAGCTACCATTCTGTCCCTAATTTTTTGCAAAATACTATAATAGACAAAAGTCCAGTTTCTCGCAGTATCGAGAAAAGAGACTCGATCCGCTTGTCAGTTGTTACCTCGTTTACAAATATTTCGTTGTATCTAGCCACGGTAATTAACTAATTAATGTTCTTTTTTACCTTTCGACATGATTCCGTAAGAGAGCATTGACTATGACGCAGTTGCTCGTTTTCAATGGAAACGAGAAACGATATCCCGTGTTGTGTTGGAGCATCGAGCACGAGTTTCGAAGCGACTTATTCCGTAGTTTCGCCTTTACTAAGCACGGACTAACTTCGCCCCGGCCACTATTGCGTATCGAGAGGCTAAAGTTTTCGTGTTAACGAACAACTGTTGGCCGAGGATCGATTCGAGCGGACCTATATGGTAAATTGACTTGAAGGACAAGCGAAAGTTTCATGGTAATTTTACGCGGGCACATCGATGGCGAAGCGGGGTAGAAAAACGGGGGAGAATGATGAGAAACGGTGGTCGGCCGTGTGCGATGTGCCTCGTGTTTTTGATTGATTAGACAAATAGTTTTCCCCGTAATGTGCAGTGACGAGTACGTTAACAGGAATATGTAGGTGTATATATTTTCACAAATCGTTTCTGAAATACAGTTTCGTTCCTTTTGTGGATTATACCCGTTATTTATGTTATAATCGTAGTAATTCAGTAATATTACATAACATTGAACGTTTATTTATTTATTATATTATATTTTTTATATATTTATTTATATACTTATTATATTTTTTATATATTTATTTGTATACTTATTATATTTTTTATATATTTATTTACATACTTATTATATTTTTATATATTTATTTATATTTATTACTTATATTATATTTTTTTATATATTTATTTATATTTATTACTTATATTATATTTTTTATATATTTATTTATATTTATTACTTATATTATATTTTTTATATATTTATTTATATTTATTACTTATATTATATTTTTTATATATTTATTTATATTTATTACTTATATTATATTTTTTATATATTTATTTATATTTATTACTTATATTATATTTTTTATATATTTATTTATATTATTTATTTATACACGTTATTTGTGTTATAACTTGTAGTAATTTAGTAATAATATCACATGACATTAAACGTTTATATACTGTCCACAGAGGGTTAAAATAACTGTAGATTTCTTTTGCTGCGGATTTAATGTTTTGAAAATTTCCACTAAAAAAAAAAAACTCAAAAATCAAAGTTTGATAAATTGCTCTTGTTAAACGCAGGAAGTGGTACTTTAAACAAGCGGACTTGCCCAACAAAACGTGAATGTTTTTTTAGCACGAAGAACGCGCGCAATGTTAAAAGAGGGGGCGAGAAGTTCTCAAACAGAGAAATTTTTGTTTCATCATTCGCAAACAGAGAAATTTTTGTTTCATCCTCCTCCAACAGAGAATGTTTTTGTTTCAAGCAGACGCACTGTTCCATCTCGATACACGTCCCAACGATGGTGGAACGCGCGTTAACGTGACTCACACTTGAGAAACGGACACTTTTGTGCAATTAAGTCTCGTGATCCCTTCTAAGGCGTGTCGTGTACTACAAAAATGCTATAATTCGTTGTTCCTGCCCAGACTCAATTGATTAAGAAGAAAGGGATTGCCTCGTGCTAATACTTTTTTAACGAGAGCATTGGTTATAATCACTACTCAGACTATACATGTTGTTCCATCGAGCTACATTCTATTCTATTCTACGTTCTATCGATTACAATTATTTGCCAGTAACTTTGAGAAAAATGCCCTGCAGTTTATGTTGTAATGTTATTTATAATTATATAATTTAAAAGTTATTAATAATTATATAATTCAAAGTTTCATTAATTTTTCACTGAATTCAGAGACTTTCTTTTCTAGAATTTCTTCTGTGAAACCTCTATAATACTTAAATTCTGTTTCTCTGTTATTTCTCTAATTTTTTTTTGTTCAAATTTTGTTAGAAAACTGAAAAATATCCAGCGCCAGTAAGAGACACAACAACTCTAAGTTAAGGCTTTGCTCCAAAGAAAGATAGAAAAAAATCCAACGCTAATAAAAGGAATCACTCGATAAACCGTCTGATAACAATCGCCTAAGAACCATAGTTCGCTACTTAAAACCATAAACTGCAAAGTTTCTGATAGCAATCGTGATTTCTGTCACTACAGCAGAAAGCCTAACCCTTGATCTAAAGAAAGGAAGAAAAAAAATGCTAGCGAAAAAGAAATATATAATTCACAAAGTCTTCGTCGTTCTATTATTAGTACAAATAATAGATATGGACACACTACAGTGCTTTGGTAAAGCTAAAGCGTTTAGCCTAACCATTGATCTAAAAAAAGGAAGGATAAAAAGTTCAACGCCAGCGAAAAAAGAAATAATTCGCAAATTCTTCACTCTAATGCTAGTACAGATAATAGATATAGATACACTATAGTATAATGTAATATATCTATATTATACAATATGCTATAATATAATATACTATAGTGATACACTAAAATATATAATTTAGATAGTAAACATTCCAAATAAGTAAGAAACGTGGAAAAATATTCGACGTTAAATTAAAATAAAGCGCGGCATAGTTTGGCACAAGTTGCGCAAACTTTCTCATAGCAACACTGTGATGTAATATAATATAATATAGTATAATGGTACGCTATAATATAATATATAATATAGATACATTATAGTAAACATTCCAAGTAAGTAAGAAAGATAGAAAAATATTCGGTGCTAAATTAAAATAGCGTGGCATAGTTTGACACAAGTTGCGCAAACTTTCTGATAGCAACACTATAGTGTAATATAATATAGTATATTATAATGGTACACTGTAATATAATATATAATATAGATACACTATAGTAAATATTCTAAGTAAGTAAGAAAGGTGGAAAAATATTCGGTGCTAAATTGAAATAGCGCAGCATAGTTTGGCACAAGTTGCGCAAACTTTCTGATAGCAACGCTATAAATATAACATAATATAGCATAATGGTACTATAATATAATATATAATATGGTACTATAATATAACATATAATATAGATAAACTATAGTAAACATTCCAAGTAAGTAAGAAAGAAGGAAAAATATTCGGTGCTAAATTAAAATAGCGTGGCATAGTTTGGCACAAGTTGCGCAAACTTTCTCATAGCAACACTATAGTGTGATATAATATAATATAGTATAATGGTACATTAAAATATAATATATAACATAGATACCCTATAGTAAACATTCCAAGTAAGTAAGAAAGATGGAAAAATATTCGGTGCTAAATTAAAATAGCGTGGCATAGTTTGGCACAAGTTGCGCAAACTTTCTCATAGCAACACTATAGTGTGATATAATATAATATAGTATAATGGTACATTAAAATATAATATATAACATAGATACCCTATAGTAAACATTCCAAGTAAGTAAGAAAGATGGAAAAATATTCGATGCTAAATTAAAATAGCGCGGCATAGTTTGGCACAAGTTGCGCAAACTTTCTGATAGCAACGCTATAAATATAACATAATATAGCATAATGGTACGCTATGATATAATACATAATATAGATATACTACAGTAAACATTCCAAGCAAGTATGGTGGAAAAAATACTCGGTGCTAAAGAAGAAATAGCACGGCACAGTTTGTTGCACAAGTTGCGCAAACTTTCCGATAGCAATCGTGAAAAACTCTGTCGCTGGAGAGCGGACTGTCGCGTTTATAGTCTAACCTAAAGGTCTAAGAAAAAAGTGGAAAGCAACACCTTAGCCCTGTTCGTCCCGCCACGTCCCAGTTCCACGTCAGTGGATCGGCTCGTCGTCCTGTTAGGCGAGGCGTCGCGACGGTTTTCGCGGCGTGCGCCGACGGCCAACGTCGCGGCGTCGCCACGACTGGTAGCCAGGCAACGCGTATAATATGACCAGCGTAATAGTTTGAAACGAAACGGTCGCGGGAGCGGTTCGGGTCCCTCCTTCAACCATTTCTCCCCCATTTCATTTTCCTTTTTTTCTTTTCTTTTCCGTTTCTTCGTCCACCTCGTTGTCGTGGACGCCGAGGCTCGATGGAGAACGCAAGTGGCACGCGACAACACCGATGGAAACCTAGGAGGGAACGCTCGTACGTACAACGTCGTGCACGCTTTATGCCGCGTTTCCATCGTCGAGGATATGCTCGATAGTTCGTCGACCGAATTCGATAACGTAGGTGATTTCTTTTCTTTTCTTTTTTTTCTTGCAAAGAAAGAAAAGAAAGAGTTGTCCCTGAGAGATTTGGCACGTTTCGGTATTTTCGGGTTTGGGGGTAGAAAGTGCGAGGAAAATTTGGGATGGAAAGTGCGAGTGAAGTAACAAAATTACTTATTTTTTTTTTCATTTATTTTATTACTTCGTTTCCTCTCATATTCATGGGGAGAGGGGGAGAAAGTTCGAGTTAAATATACGTAGGTGAAAGTGTGGGAGTTTAGTTTAATATCTTTATGGTTTAATAAGATAGCGAAGAAATAACAAACAACATGGATTCGAGGATGTATATTTACGATATCAAGTATTAAATAACTGAAAATTCAAATTCTTTTCCACACGATCATTGTAACGATCCTCCTTAAATTGAATTAATTATACGTAGACGAATATGAAGGCAAGAGATGTTCGTACAATTACAAAAATATGTGAAAAAAAAAAAAAAAAACAGAATACACGTAATACGCAACTGCGAGTAATTCGTGCAATTACAGGAAATCATCATGTTGGAAAAGTCACAGAAATGTACAAAAAGCAAAATATTCCTCGTAATAAGCTCGATCTCGCGCAAAAAGTACAAAGATGCACGAGGATTCGAAAGTTCTTGTCAAAAGACACCTTTGAAAGATTAATTTCATAAATGTTTCACAACCGAACTAGCCTTCGATGGCAACGCCATTGTGCCCTACGGTTTTAAGCCAAATAATCAATGGAAAAATAGGACAACGTCGATAAGAACAACAAACAAACGTTGAAAGCTGTGCTGACGTACTGGAAACGTACGCTTGATCGGATTAATTCTTTGGATCAATTAATCCTTTGAAACTCGATCCTCCTTAATTGTTCGACTAATGAGACTGTATACGAGGTCGGTGGATGTGGGTTACCATCTATCGAGTAGGTTGGCGAGTTATGTAAAGTCGTTCGAACGACGGAAGACTACCGTTAAATTATTCTTGGCCAGGTGCGATTTCAATCCGCGTCTGTGCAGCAGTAGAAATAGATTTCGTCAGGCTATGAACGTAAAAGAATGACACGATGATGCATACCTGGCGTCAGTTATAACGAGTGGCCGATCATAGTAATTATTCGTGACGGTTTGATCGCGGCCGATTGATCGTCGCGGGCAATTGTTTACCTGAACGTGCACGTTACGACAATTTCTGTACGTAACTGCATTATTGATTCTGGTTCTAAATTTAAAAGAAGATTAGAAAAAAGAAAAAAAAATGAACGAAATTATAGTGAAAATGAGGTGCTTTGTAAATTTACATTTCGGAGTATCCGTAGGTAGCTAATTTCAGAATATTATTGTCACGTTGTTAATTAATTAATTATGCGACGAAAGTAGGGATATTTGTTATTATATATCATTATTTGCAAATATTTTTCTTTATAAAACTAACTAATGATTGGAAAAAAAGAATTATTTTAATAATTCTTTTATTTTAATAATTTCATTTTAATAATTTTAATTATCTCGAAAGTAAATAATCTAAACATATATATATATATATATATTATTTTTTTGCTAAATAAAAAAGATTAATATATAGAAAGTTAGAAAAAATTAATATTTAGAAATTAAATGTTTGTCGTATTTATTAATATCTAGTTTTTATTAAGATAAATTTAATTTACATATAATAATAATTAATTAAATATCATTATTCAATTAATTTCATTATATAAAAAAATTTATGGGATGAACTATAAATTTAGTAGATCAAAGTAGATTAAAAAATATCCGGTTTTGAAAGAGTCGAGTGACACGTAACGATAATGAAATGGATTTTTATTCTGAATTTACGGAGAAAAAGAAAAAAAGATGTTAAAAGAAAACGAAATAGCTCTTAAACAACGTATAAGTATATACGATTTGAGATATTTGAAGTTTAATTTATCAATATATTATTAAAGTTGAACAAATGTTGAATACGAATGGAATACAATAACCTTTTCAAAATTTCATATGCTACGTATGCTACGTAATTTTTCTTCCGTGACATTAAAAAGGGAGAAGGTCGCCAAATATCGTTTCATACTCCAGTTTTGCTGTAAGTTTCGTCAATTGAGCAGGCTCGTCCATAAATCGATCGCCATGCTGCTGAAGGACGAAACAAACCGCGCAAGAACTGTAAAGAAGCTTTGTTCGCTCGAATATTTATCTTGCTTAACGTGCATCAGACATTTTATGCGACTTAATAAACGTGCAATTTTCCGCACGTTTATACACTTTCGCAGTTCCGTAAAAACGTTGATCAAAAACACGATTTTCTAATTTAACGAATGTAGGCCACAGATAAAAAGAAAGAAAAAAAGAAAACACTTTTGGAGAGCGATCTCGAAGATGAATATGTATTCAGTTCATTCTACGTTGAAATTATATATGTGTTTTTATCAGTGACCATCCGTAATCGAATAATAGATTTGGAAAAACTTTTGTGTTGAAAAATTTGTTTGTCAAAAGTGGAGTAAATGTACGAAAAATCTATTTATTTTCATTATTCGTATATTGTTGTTTATTAATATTCATAATTATTTATTTAGTTGTTTTAATGATTTCTTTCTTTCTTACTATATTTTGATACGTATATTCTAGTATTTTGTAATATATTAATAATATATATATATTATATTCTATATTATAATATTATATGTATTATATATTAGTAGATACGTCTATATATATATATGTATAATATTATATAATATTTTATACTGTAAACTGTGTGAACTGTGAAGTGACCAAGAGAAAATTGTAATATGAAAGATCCATTTCGTTCCAGTTCTATAATAACACGATAATTTTTCAAACCTTTCGTCACACTTTTCGATTAGGTCTTACCCGAGATGTTAAGTAAAAACACGTGTAAAAAGTAATAAGAACGATCGCAGTAAGGGTTGCTTTTGTGCTACGTGCAATTAAGATCAACACAAGCGATAAGTATAATTACGAGCAACTCATAAAGAATTACATCACATATGTATATACACGCGTCAAGATATCGTCGCAAATTACATGTAAATAATCATCTTGTTCTTTGACCTGTGAACCTATGTACGATCGTTAAAAAAAAAAAAAAAAAAAAAAAAAGAACTCAATATGAAATGTTACTATACTTGCTATACTGTGTATGTATTTATGTAACTCGACTGCATTTTCCGCATTGTGTTTTAGGCCTTTAGGAATATTCCACGATAATGCAATATATACATGCAATAATGCACCGGGGCGAAAGAAAAAAGAAAAAAAAAAAAAAAACGTTTCTTATTGCGTCGAGGCTCTTTTAGTTTTTTGCTTAAATTAAAATCGTGTGTCCGTCGATATATTCGTCACTTCGAACGTTGGAAATAAATATAGATAACGTGTGTTTATGTGAGAAATCTCTTTTTCTTTTTTTGTTTGTTCGTTTCACAAGACTCGCGGGAAAAAGTATCAAAAATTCAAGCAGCGATTGTACATAACATATATGGCGATTCGTTGGAAATTAATTTGGCAGGTGGTATGATTTTCTAACGAACGCAGTAATTACATTTCCTCTCGAGGCTCGGAAGAATTGAATATTTATAAATTATGGTGAAAAGTATGAAATGCGAAAGAAGAAAGTAACGATTATCCTCCTGCCCTGTGTGTTAATTTAAACAAATACGTACAGTGAATTGTTCGCGAAACGTGAAACACTGTGGTGAAAGCCAGTAATTTATTTCAAGAGCGAGGTCCTTTGAAACTTTTCTAACAAATGTCTACGACGTTCATCAGGTCAGATGATATACATGGATAACTGGAAGATGATGATGTACCTTGGCACCCCTGTCATGCCAGATTTGAATGCCCTGATCGCGACTGGTCTCTACATAAACGATTTATCGATGCACGACTTCAGCAGGTATCAATGTATTCTTCTAATCGTCAATTTGACAAATTTTTCTTGAATTTCAGAAGAGATAACTACAGGCTGGCCACTGAAACACTGAAGGGTTTTGAAAAAGTCACAACTTGCCCATTCTCAATCTCTTTTATCTTCTTTTTTCGTAGGATTTCATTCTATTTCATTTTATTTCTTTCTAAAATAATAAAAAAATTAATGAAACGTGTGTTTGTAAAATGTTATTTTTGTTTTATATCACTCAATCTTTCAGTGACCTGTATTACAGATATTATCCTGTAACCCATGTTTTCTGTAAATTATATTTTTCTCGCGAAATGAGCATATTACAAATATCATCTTTCAACATCTATTTTTTTATAATATTCGCAAATTAAGATGAGGATTCAATTCAACGACTACATCTAGAAAATGAATTATTTCTGTGCAATTACTTTTACATTTTAAAATTTTCTACAGAGACCTGATGCTCGCCGGCACGCAACAATCAGTGGAACTTAAGTTGGCTTTAGACCAGGAACAGCTGAAGAGCAAAAAGCTAGAGGAATCAATGAGAAAATTGGACGAGGAGATGAAACGTACGGACGAGTTGCTGTATCAGATGATACCGAAACAGGTGGCGGATCGTTTGAGAAACGGGGAGAGCCCGATAGACACGTGCGAGGTGAGAACAATGGATTCTAAGTTCATTATAAATGTCTAATAATAATTATATTATTTAATTAATTATAATATTTATTATAATATTATTTAATTAATTATAACATTTTTATTTATTTTAATATTATTTAATTCATCATAAAATTTTTATTTATTTTAATATTATTTAATTCATCATAACATTTATATTTACTATAATATTATTTAATTCATCATAACATTTATATTTACTATAATATTATTTAATTCATCATAACATTTATATTTACTATAATATTATTTAATTAATATTAATTATAATATTTGTACTTATTATAGTATTATTAATTAATATTAATTATAATATTTATACTTATTATAATATTATTAATTAATATTAATTATAATATTTATATTATAATTTAATGTGTATGAACGTCATTGCTGTTCGAATTTTCATTATCTGAATTTATAATGTCGATCGTCACTCGAGTGATTATGTTGTACGATTCTCATCTTAATCAAAGTAATTAATTAAGCTAGATCCTATTGCATACTGTTCGCTCAATTCTATACTGTCCGCTCTTTCTCATTCAACAGTTAGATCCACACTTATGTACTTCACCCTCGTTGCCATTCTCTTTCTTCCTCTCGCATTAGGTTTAATATTATATTAAACCTAATATTATATTATTTCATTATTTTAATATTATATTATTTTATAAATATGTGCCTGAACCATCTTGAGATCATAAATTTTACTTGTATTCAGTTTTTTTACACTTCTAACCGAATAAAATTCCTCTCACAAATAATAATTATCGACAATAGAAAAAAATTTTCGATCATTTGCAATTGCCATTTTGTAATCGGAATGTTCAACCTTTTAATCATGTGGTTTTTTTTTAAAGATTTTCTTCAACAATTTTCTTAATGAATAATTTTCTTAAACAACAAGTAAGCTTCAGTTACTGACTCTTCCTCATGAAAATTTATAATTGCTTATAATTGCTATTTGTAATCAAAATGCTCAACTTTTTAATTATGTGGTTTTTCTTTTAAAGATTTTCTTCAACAATTTTCTTAATGAATAATTTTCTTAAATAACAAATAAGCTTCAGTTACTGACTCTTCTTCATGAAAATTTATAATTGCTTATTATTGCTATTTGTAATCAAAATGCTCAACTTTTTAATCATGTCGTTTTTTCTGAAAAATTTTCTTCAACAATTTTCTTAATAAATAATTTTCTTAAATAACAAATAAGCTTCAGTTACTGACTCTTCTTCATGAAAATTTATAATTGCTTATTATTGCTATTTGTAATCAAAATGCTCAACTTTTTAATCATGTCGTTTTTTCTGAAAAATTTTCTTCAACAATTTTCTTAATAAATAATTTTCTTAAATAACAAATAAGCTTCAGTTACTGACTCTTCTTCATGAAAATTTATAATTGCTTATTATTGCTATTTGTAATCAAAATGCTCAACTTTTTAATCATGTCGTTTTTTCTGAAAAATTTTCTTCAACAATTTTCTTAATAAATAATTTTCTTAAATAACAAATAAGTTTCAGTTACTGACTCTTCCTCATGAAAATTTCTAGAGATAACTGTTATTTTCCGGTCGATCCGAAAAATAATGATTTTTCTGATCGTTCGTCGATTAACACGTTCCACTTGTCGTGGCCATTTCAGATGTTCGACAGCGTTTCAATTTTGTTCTCGGACGTAGTGACGTTTACAGAGATCTGCAGCAGGATCACGCCGATGGAGGTGGTGTCCATGTTGAACGCGATGTACTCGCTTTTCGATACATTAACTGAAAGGAACCGGGTGTATAAGGTATTCTTAGGTAGTAAGAGTTAGCATTTATTCGTCCTCAAAACCATTCTCTTTCGCTTTCATCTTCGTTTCAATACGAACGCATCTCTCCTTTTCGAGTCGCTTCCTTAACACCGTTAAGAGCCAGCATAATTGCGTTAACATTTCATTGACGCTTGTTTCTAATATGGTCATCTACATTATTGAAATTTTTGTGCTGTGAAAGTGAACTTTAAAAGTTCGCTTAACACTAGAGAACTACCGATTAAAGCACAGAGTTTCCATTCAGAGACGTTAAGAGCATAAGAGTAGATAAGCTTCGTGATATAATAAATTACATAAGCTCTGATTTATACGTTTGGAAAATTTATATATTATAAATTTATAGATTACTTTTTTATATTTATTTATAATATATATGTTTATAAATTTATAAATATATTTGTTTATACTTATTTATAATATATATATATTTCTAAATTTATACATATATTTATTTATAATATACATATTTGTAAATTTATAAATATATTTATTTATAATAAACACATTTATAAATTTATATATTAATAATATATAAATTTATATATTAATAATATATTAATAATATATTTATTTATAATATACATATTTATAAATTTACAAGTATATTTATTTATAATATAGATATTTATAAATTTATAGTAATATTAATTAAAATATATTTATCTATGATATACATATTTATAAATTTATAGATATATTTATCTATGATATACATATTTATAAATTTATAAATATATTTATCTATGATATACATATTTATAAATTTATAAATATATTCATCTATGATATACATATTTATAAATATATTTATTTATAGCATATAAATTTATAAAAATATTTATTTATGATACATATATTTATAAATTTATAAAATCTATTATATTTAGATTTACGAAAAATTATTTGATTCTCTAGAAAATAAATCGATAAAATTTCCGACAAAAGTTACAAATTGGCCAATTTCGACATTGGTAGTTCCGACGTTCAATCCTAATATCCACAATTTTATGAAATTCCAACAAATTCATGTATCCACGAACTATCGTCTGCTCTTCAACGGGATCTGAAAAGTAATCTTGCCAGCACGATTCTTTCGAAATGTTCTCGCTAATGAAACGGATAAAGTTTCTCTGAAAATAAGGTCAAGACTGTGATGAAAATTCGAGAGGCACCGCGTTGTTAAATTCTTTCTAAACTTCTTTGTCAGGTTGAAACTATCGGAGATGCGTACATGGTGGTGTCCGGTGCCCCGGTGAAGGAGAACGATCACGCAGATCGTGTCTGCGACATGGCACTCGACATGGTCGAGGCGATAACGGACCTTAAAGATCGTTCCACAGGTAAATTCACATGGGAAATAATTTAGTCTGTCATTTTTTGTTGTGCTTTCTACGATTATTTATATTTAACCCTTTGACCACCGCTGGCGCCAAATGGCGCTTGGTAAATTTACGCTTTGACCTAACGATTATTATTTATAAATCTCCTTGACGATTGTTATTATAAAAAGCTTAATGGTAATGTTGGATATTTTAGTACGTGCATGAACAATTCACGAACAGAGCACGAATAAATAAATAAATAATATTGGTTTAATGTAGTGGAATTCAGTGTTTCGATTACATTGATATACTTCACATGCTCAGAAATGCACGCCTAACGAAAAAGTTTCATCGTTCTCGGCGTCAGGTTGCGACTGAATTCCTACCTTCTTGGTACGTCACAGATAATCTGCTGTAGTCAAAAGGGGTTGATCGATCTGTCTGATTTCAGGTCTTCATCTTCAAATACGAGTTGGTATTCACAGTGGCGCGGTGGTGGCTGGCATAGTAGGCTTAAAAATGCCACGATACTGTTTATTCGGCGATTCGGTGAACACAGCGTCTCGCATGGAGGCGACCAGCCAAGCGATGCAAATACATATATCGCAGTCCACGCGAGAGTTATTGTCCCCCTCGTACAAAGTTAAGGAACGAGGAGAGATCGAGGTGAAGGGTAAAGGTAGGAATTTTATCTTAATTGAGACAGTAATCTAGATAGTAATCTAAATTATTGCATGGTCTTTATATATATAATTATATAATATATATGTTATATTTATTATAATTATTATTATATAATAATAATAATTATTATTATTATTAATAATTAATATTTAATTAATATTATTATAATTATAATATTTATTCGTTTATTATTATAATTATAATTATTATATATAACTATATAATATATATGTTATATAATTATATAATATATATGTTATACAATTATTATAATTATAACATAATTATATAATATATGTTATATAATTGTTATAATTATAATATAATTATTATACATAATTATATAATATATGTTAATATATAATTATAATATTTAATTGTTAACTATAAGTTAATTGTAATTAATTATAAGCTACTAGTTAATTATAATCAGTTTTGAAAGTTAATAATTAATAAAAAGAAAATAACTTTTCTCGTGAGTCTCCCTGAAAGGAGAATTTGGTCTTTCGCTGTTTCAACTTAATTTGTCTCAATTGGTGTCAAATTGGCACGATGGTGGAAAATTAATACCGTACAGAGGGAAAAAAATAAATAATTAAATTTAGTAAAAAAAAAAATGATTGAATTTAATGAAATAAATAATTAAGTTTCATAAAGAGAGTTAAATTAAATAACTGAATACATATCATGATTTATATACATGAAAAAGAAATGGAATTTTCTTTTTAGTTTGTCGACTGTCATGATCATTTGTTTAGGCTTGTTTAGATTTTAGTAGTAATTAATTTTACGTACAGTAATTATGTGTGTACGTATCTTTGAAAAGAGTACATTGGCTATACCATTACGATGTAATATACATATAATTTCTCTCAAAAATATTATATCAGAATAACATTATTATAATAATATAACACTCAATGACGAGAGTTTTGGAAACGAATATTATTTGCAACTCTGACTCTGAAGTATATTTTATCAAAAATGTCAAAAATACATTATATAACATGTATTATATATTATATTATATTATATTATATATTATATAATATTATTATATATATTATACATTATGTTATACATTATATAACATGTTTTATAAGAATAATTAGTCAATATAATATTATTATATATATTATACATTATGTTATACATTATATAACATGTTTTATAAGAAAAATTAGTCAAATTGACACAAGGGACTGATGAGAGTAAGATAAGATATACGCAATGAAAATAATAAATATGTATGTTTTAGGCACAATGAAGACTTATTGGTTAGAGAAACGGGAGCACAGATCGTCATCGACGAGAGGTATCACTATCCAAGAACCACCACAATGGCACATGAGAAACACCGAGAAAAGAGTGTCTGCAGGGACACCCGCTGGCTTCACAGCAGCCACCACCATGTTCGAGAATCAAAATTCATTGGACACGTCGTCTAGGAGAGGCTCGAAGATCACCTCGCCAACACCACCAGAAACGTCGTTCATCACCGAAGAAAGAAGAATTTACTCGCCGATCACGTTTCAGGACGTTGCTCGTAGATCGGTTGCCAACTCGCCGACCAAGAACGCCGATTCCAGAGGTAACTTACAGAGGAAATTTCCAAGGTTGTTCAAAATTTTTTGCAGTGCAAATAATAAGCGATAACAACGGAAATTCGTTTCTTGGTAAAAGACTTGGAACGGGTGAAAATCGTTGAAAAGAAATCTTGACTTTTGGTATTGTAAGATACAGAAAGAAAATTGTATCATTTTCTTTTTTCTGTGAATGCTTGTTGATATAGTACTGATATAGTACTGATTTACTGCTCTAAAGAATGTTATAGTGTCCCTTTAATTATTAGTTATAAGAAGATAAAACCAAATTGTCGCCAGATCCACTGATTGAGTAAGCTTGAGAAGAACATTGTGTCTAATAGAATTCAGCAATTACATAAAGTAAAAGATTTAAGCATTAGATTGAAACATTAAATGTATGAAAAATATTTTTCACACTTCTTATAATAAGACAGGTGTTCTTTTTATTACTGCAGACTACAAGAACAAACTCTTAATCTAACATTTTTCTCTCGTACGGTTAATTGTTATTATTATTATTATTATTACTAATCTTATATGGTTAAAATATGTCAAGATACAACAGATATGATACGTTTTATATCTAAATAAGTCAAGATATAGTATAGTTATAATATGTAAATCTAAATAATTATAATAAATATATCTAAATGAATATATATATATATATATATATATATATATATATAGAGACATTTATACAAATTATAGTATATTTATTAGATATATTATTCATTATCAAATTATATCTAAATAATTATAATATAATTTATATCTAAACAAGTCAAGATTCAGTACAGTTATAATATGTAAATCTAAATAATTATAATAAATATATCTAAATGAATATATATATATATATATCTTGACTTGTTTAGATATAAATTATATTATATTTATTAGATATATTATTCATTATCAAATTACATCTAAATAATTACAGTATAATTTATATTTAAACAAGTCAAGATACAGTACAGTTATAACATGTAAATCTAAATAATTATAATAAATATATCTAAATGAATATATATACATATCTTGACTTGTTTAGATATAAATTATATTACATTTATTAGATATATTATTCATTATCAAATTATATCTAAATAGCTATAATATAATTTATATCTAAACAAGTCAAGATACAGTACAGTTGTACAAGATATAATCTGATACATATGATACAAGTCAAGATTCCTTTAGACAGGTTATCTTCAGCCCATGTACAGGGTCATTTTCAACAGATTATCACCATCATACCACGTACACGTTCCAAAATAATTTAAACGTTCCAACCGAGAAGATGATTTCTCTGAAAAACCACGTGTCTAATTGCAGAATGTAGGTCAAACTCGATGGGCGCGGTGATCACGAGGAACTCGGAGATGTTCAGCTCCCTTCTGAGCGACACCGAGGAACATTTCAGACAGCACAGAGACAGCCTATCGCCCCGTGGTGAGAACCGTTCGGCAGGTATCCATCCAAAGCCGGAGTTGAACGTGAACGCGAACTCGAGCTCGTCGTCGGAGGAGCTGCGCGAGGACAGGGCGGCCTCGAGCGACCTCGACGCCCCCCCGAAGCGTGAGAACGACTACTGCGAGAAGAGCAAGGACTATTATCTGACGTTCCACAGCGACATCAGCAACTCACAGTCGCTGACTCACCAGGACCAGTGCTGTCCCGGCTTCACGATGACGAAGAGCGGCAAAACGCGCCACCAGAGCAACGGATGTTGCATCGCCTAATAAAAGAAAAATCGCGCAAATCAACCTTCCCCCCCCCCCTTCCACGCCCCCCGAAGGTCCGAGATTTGCCTTCATCCCCCACGAGTTGATCTCGTTGTTTCTTCCACTCCTGTCTTCACTGACAATGCGAGCCGCGAGGGCGCGATCTTATATAGATCCTGCAGAAGTTTCTCGTTAGTCGAAAATCGTCGACATAGTCAGGACGTTTCGGGAAAAACGAAGCCTCGTCCCCGCTGTTTTAACGAACTGGCCGACGTGATTGACTTCAGACTTCTTTTCGGAATTATTTTTCTTTCCTTTTTTTTTTTTTTCTTGAATTTGGCGCCAAAGCTGCTCGACGCTTAACTTTCTATGCGAAACAGAGTTCTTCGACCCTTTTGGTGTTTGGTCCATACAAATGGACTGTCAATAAGTACGGTCAATAAGAATAATTAAATAATTGGTTTACGTCATGGTATAAATGCAAATGGTATAAAAAAATTTAAAGACGAACGTATCCCCTGTTAAGTGGGTTATTAAGCCTTGTTATTAAGCTTCATTTTTTTTTCTTTTTTGTTTCTTTTTGTTTTGTGGAGCTAATCGATATATTTGATCGCGGGGCTGGTGCACCGAAATTGTCAATCGTTGGAAACTGTCGTTTCGAAATATTCCGAAAAAATTATAATTTAATATTGTAATATTATTTTATGTAATATTATAATTTAATATTGTAATATTATTTTATGTTATAATTTAATACTACGATATTATTTTGTGTAATATTATAATTTATTATTACAATATTATTTTATGTAATATTATAATGTAATATTGTAATATTATTTTATGTAATATTATAATCTAATATTGTAATATTATTTTGTGTAATATTATAATTTAATATTACAATATTATTTTGTGTAATATTATAATTTATTATTACAATATTATTTTATGTAACATTATAATCTAATATTGTAATATTATTTTACGCAATATTATAATCTAATATTGTAATATTATTTTGTGTAATATTATAATTTATTATTACAATATTATTTTGTGTAATATTATAATTTATTATTACAATATTATTTTATGTAATATTATAATCTAATATTGTAATATTATTTTACGCAATATTATAATCTAATATTGTAATACTATTTTGTGTAATATTATAATCTAATATTGTAATATTATTTTGTGTAATATTATAATTTAATATTATAATATTATTTTGTGTAATATTATAATTTATTATTACAATATTATTTTATGTAACATTATAATTTAATATTGTAATATTATTTTACGCAATATTATAATCTAATATTGTAATATTATTTTGTGTAATATTATAATTTATTATTACAATATTATTTTGTGTAATATTATAATTTAATATTATATTATTTTATATAATATTATAATTTAATATTATATTATTTTGTATAATATTATAATTTAATATTATAACATTATTTCGAAATATTATAATAGTTTGATTCGAGGAACCGAGAGTCGCATCATTGGACTTTCGAACGTGCATACATGTAGAGAGACACGGATCTAAGATTCTAAGCGCTGTTACTTTAAGGAAATATTTATTATAAATGCGCGTCACAGGCGAACGACGTAACGTTTAGGCGATTTAGTTTAAATTATTTAATTCCTTTTTTTTTTTTTTAATATTACAATTAACGAACGAATGTAACATCGATGAGGGAAAGAAAAGATTTGGATGAATAAAGAAAGAGGTAGAGATTTGTTATTATTACCTTCCTTTGAAATCGAGATCATGTACAAGTACAAAAGAATAAAGATGTATGGAAATTACAGAAATATTATGTTAAATTATGTTAACAATTAGACTTAGCGGACATTTATACAAATTTATGTACATCTTTATAAATACGATCGAAGAAGAAGCTTACGTGCGTTCCTTTGCATCTGAAAATTTTTTCAATCAATTTCTCGCGTATAATACGCAAAACAATATCCATTGAATATTTTGAACGACAGTTTCCAGTGACGTATCCATCGTACGAAAAGGGATCAAGCAACAAAAAAAAAACAATTGTAACAGTTTCTACGTACGAGACTTGAAATGAAAACGAGAAATCGACTGTGTGTGTGTGTGTGTTGTAAATCGAAACCGATGTTCTGCGATCCGCACTGAAAAGAAAAAAAAAAAAAAAGGATTGCACACTCAAAAGTGTCTTAAATAAAGTATACAGTATATTCTTGTCACTTGAGTTAACGTCGATAACTCGTATCGAACTATTCGAGCATAGAATGGAATAGAACGAGAAAAGAAATAACAATTTTAAGACAATTTAGATTTCTTATAATATCATATAGTTCCACGTGTCGCAAGGTATTAAAAATTATTTCATAAACGATACTCACGTATTCTTCTCTCCTTACTTTTTCTTTTTCTTTTTTTTTTTTTTCAAACGCATTCCCGCGCAAATCCCACGAACTTCAATTTCACTTGACAAATTAAAATAAAATAATATCACTTTTGTGTCACTTCGTTCACTTTCTTACGAGTATTACCATCGTTCGTGAGATCTCCACTGGCTGCAAAGAACCATAAAGAACTGTTCGTCCATTAGCAGTCGAAGCTGTGTTCTTTAATTAACTTAAGAGAGTCGAGAGTGTAACTTTTCCTATAATGTCTCGGTCGTTCCGCGAAATTTTTCGTATTATTACGTATGCGAAAACGAGCATAAAGACTTTCCAATTGCAGCGCGTTCTCGCTCGCCTTTGATTTCTTATGCAGCGCGTAATAGATCCTTTACGCGACGATTCGATCGGCACAATTAGGTTTTTAGGTTTTAAGCCTTTGCCCGAGCAGATTCAGCCAGCCAATCTTCTGCAATTATCCGCCGGACGTTACGTTTGAAACGGAATACCTAATGACACTCGATTACGAACGAATCGCCAACGAACTTTATTTGATGGGTCTGTCTACAGTCGATGGCGACAGGTCAGTCTTTGGCGAGTGATCATCGAAATTCGACGTCGGCGGGCATCGAGATTCTCGGAATGGACAGCGCACAGTACGGATACCTGCGATTGAACAAGAACATGCTCTTTATAATGGGCATCTGGCCTTATCAAACCGTTCAGCACAGAAGTTTCGCGTCGCTGGTTTTCATTCCCGTCATTATCGCTCAACTGATTCTACAGGTATCGATGCACTCGTTGTGAGAAACAAGCTCACAAATGTTAGGGGATATTTCGAAATGAATGCGAGGCGGTGGAAAAAAAGAAGCATTTGATCTTTCTGACTTGCTGCTTGCTTTTCTGACGTTCTTTAAATAAAATAATAGAAATATATATGATTATAAGATAGTGATATAATTATTATAATTAATTATAATTATTATATTAAGTAATAATAATAGTAATAATTATTATTATTATTACTATAAGTAATATATAATTATATGACATCGTATACGGACCATATCAATAACAGTTCAAAAGAACTGAACTGATTTAGAGAGTATTGCGAAATTTGCTGAATCTTCAAATAGTCACACGAAAGATATCATAAGTAAGTATTATTTGTAAACAGTGCGAATTCATGCTTACGAATTATTGCTGTTACTATTATGTATGGAAAGAGAGGCCGGACAGAGAGTTTGCTCTGTTTATAAAATTTATATCTCATAAAAAAAACAGACAGGACATATATTTATATGACTTTTTTTCATTATTTTTAGGCGTACAATCAACTCCCGAAGTGGGTCCCACAAGTTACAAAACACTCTGCATAATATATACAATTATAATTGTAATATATATAATATACACAATTATAATTGTAATATATCTAATATACACAATTATAATTGTAATATATCTAATCTACACAATTATAATTGTAATATATATAATATACACAATTACAATTGTAATATATATAATATACACAATTATAATTGTAATATATATATATATAATATACACAATTACAATTGTAATATATCAAATATACACAATTATAATTGTAATATATCAAATATACACAATTATAATTGTAATATATATAATATACACAATTATAATTGTAATATATATATAATATACACAATTACAATTGTAATATATCTAATATACACAATTATAATTGTAATATATCTAATATACACAATTATAATTGTAATATATATAATATACACAATTATAATTGTAATATATATAATATACACAATTACAATTGTAATATATCTAATATACACAATTATAATTGTAATATATCTAATATACACAATTATAATTGTAATATATATAATATACACAATTATAATTGTAATATATATAATATACACAATTACAATTGTAATATATCTAATATACACAATTATAATTGTAATATATCTAATATACACAATTACAATTGTAATATATATAATATACACAATTATAATTGTAATTTATATAATATACACAATTATAATTGTAATATATCTAATATACACAATTATAATTGTAATATATCTAATATACACAATTATAATTGTAATATATCTAATATACACAATTATAATTGTAATATATCTAATATACACAATTATAATTGTAATATATCTAATATACACAATTATAATTGTAATATATCTAATATACACAATTATAATTGTAATTTATATAATATACACAATTATAATTGTAATATATATAATATAGACAATTATAATTGTAATGTATATAATATATATAATTATAATAGAAATAATAGAAATAGTTAAATAAAATAGTTTAATTAAAAAAAAATCGAAGGCTTCTTTTTTTTATCGATTTCATATTCATTTTGAAATATCCTCTAATTTTTGTAAGCAGTATATTAGGATACTTGACGCTAGAACTACCAAGGTGGACCAATTTGTAATCTTTAAAATACACTTTCGATCAAATACACTTTAGTGATTGCGGAGCGAATTTTTACAAACTTTTGCCAATTTCATGTTTTTGAAATCGCGCAAATTTTCTTCTAGGCCGGCGGATTTGTGACTGCCATAATTGCCGACGATCTCGAAGCGTTTCTGGAAAGTTTCGCTCCTCTAATGATCAGCTTCATGTGTATCTCTAAGTATATCAATTTCTTTTACAATTTCGAGCAGGTACGTTTGTCGCGTCGCTTGTGACCGTGTTAACGTTAAATGGGCGCGTGCAATTGATTCAGATGAGACGTTTGCTGGACATAATGCAGGACGACTGGAGAATTTATAAAAAGCGGAGGAACGAGTATGATCTGCTTAACGAACAATACACGATAGGGAAAAAATTTGTCACCGGTTTCGTAGGTAAGACGATTGATCGATTTTTACGTATTAATTTCCGCTTGTTATTACCTCAATATTTTATTTAACATTCCGTATAAAAATAAAAAAAGAAAATTCTCGTTTGAAAATAAAAAAAATACTAAATAGAAATTAGATCAAAGAACTTAGTTGTGAGGGTGAACTGAATCACTAGTGAAAAATTGCCGATTTTTTTAATTGTTACAATTTCATAAAGAAAACGTAATAATTCATTTGATTTCATTTTAAGTTGCTATATATTATATACAATGAAATACTATGTATATACTATGTATATATAAAATATTATAATAAAATATAACATTAATATATATATATATATATACACAATAAATGTAATATTAATTTATATAATATAATATAATTTAATTTAATTTTAATTTTAATAAAAAATTGTTCAGTTTTCTCAGAGACTTATATATATAATGAAATATAATATATTATATTTTTAATTATTATATTTATAAATATTAATAATTATATTATATTAACAATTACAAATTATATTTATAAATATTAATAATTACAAATATAATGTAATATATTATATATAATAAATATAATATTAATATTTATTACCGAACCATTGAAAAAAATGTCTCACATTTATATATAATAAATATAATATCAATATTTATTACCGAACCATTGAAAAAATGTCTCACATTTATATATAATAAATATGATATCAATATTTATTACCGAACCACTGAAAAAATGTCTCACATTTATATATAATAAATATAATATCAATATTTATTACCGAACCACTGAAAAAATGTCTCACATTTATATATAATAAATATAATATCAATATTTATTACCGAACCACTGAAAAAATGTCTCACATTTATATATAATAAATATAATATCAATATTTATTACCGAACCACTGAAAAAATGTCTCACATTTATATATAATAAATATAATATCAATATTTATTACCGAACCATTGAAAAAATGTCTCACATTTAATATTATATAATAAATATAATATCAATATTTATTACCGAACCACGGAAAAAATGTCTCAAAAGAACGATGATGAGAAGGAGTGATTGGAAATTTACAGGAATGGCTGTTTAATTAATAAATGCGATTGATCACAGTTTCTTTACTCGGATTCATAACGCCGTTTGCGACCGTGCCATTGGTGCTGAATGCAGCTGACGCTTTAGGACTCTGCAATATATCGGACGATCGACCGTTGCCATTCCGTATCGAACATTTCGTTAACGTGGACAAATACTACAATGTTCTCTTGATACATTCGTTCTTTGGCACGTTAGGGTATACTCTGATTGTTCTAGCTGTCAACTGCATGATGGTTACGTACGTTATACACGAGAGTGGTCTTTGTGAAATTCTAAGGTATCTTTGTTAATCTTATTAATTACTTTATTAAGTATTCTTTATCTACGTGGATCTGTAATAGATATAAAAATCTGTGAACGAACTTTTCGTGGATCCATGCAGCTTCTCGTTCTCATTGTCTTTTCTTTTCGTGTAAATTTCGACTGGAAATAAATAAGTGGAAACTTATGGGAGGGGTATGGCACTATCGATGACCGACGAAACGAATTGAAAAAGTGAGAAAGAGAATAAGAACGACTTTTATACTCTTCTTTTCTTTTTCTACGTCTCACATCTTATTTTTATATTTCTTGTTTCTCCCAATTCGAAAACTTAACTCGTGGATACTGAGAGGATTGATGAAAAAAAAATAATTGAATATCTAGTGCAACTATTCAACGAGAAATCTTGAATTTCAGAGAATTAGTTTCGCGACTTGATGTTAGAAGAAATTAATTATATGTATCTTTTTAATATGTATTCAATTCGAAAGCAAGGTTTCGACTTTGCAAAATATTTAAAGTATATCGAAACAAATATAATATAATATGATATCGTGACGAATATTTTTGAATACTATCGTAAACATTAGAATGTCGAATCACGCAAAACAGGAAAAGAAAACCAGCCGATTAAATAGCGATAACATCCCTTTGTAAAATAAATCAACGACAGATTCACGTTCGAATTACCACTTCCGCTTTGAATTTTAACTTTAACTGTTTCTATTTTTCAATTTTCAACTTCAACTGCCTTTATACTAACTTTTGAATTCTAGAGTGAGGCTAGAGAACTTCGTGGAGATCGACACTGCGGACGTAGATCTTCATCCGAGTAAACGCGACGACAAATGGTACGAAAATGCCAGGGACTGCGTGCTATTGCACAAACACATAATCGAGTCAGTATCCTCTCTTCCACGTTTCCATTTTTCGTTCCTTAAGTTTAAAGTTCTTTACAATCTTTACGTCTTTCTTACGTCGCTAACAACGAAGATTCGCCAACATACTCGAGGACGCGAACACGACGTGTTACCTCATCATGATTGGATTCGACATGATTTGCATAAGCTTCACGCAGTTTCAGGTCCGTACGAGGTTGACATCGTCGTTCATCACCAATCACTTTGACTTTTGTTCCTTGTTTCGTTTGTTCTCGGCGATCAGACGGTGATCAATTTGGAAAATCCGCCGTTGGCGCTCAGATACGTCTCGCTCTCGGTTTGTCTGCTGTGCGACCTTTTGTTCATCAGCTGGCCAGGGCAACATCTGACGAATTCTAGCGAACGTATATTCGAATTTGCGTAAGGACTTTTTCTTTCAATTCTTTTTTTTTTTTCAGAGTTCGCTGCAGAATTATTTTTTGCAAAAGGAATCGAACATTGTTCCATCTCTCACCGACGAGATTTCAGATCACGATTCCCCAGCCAGGGTTCTGTATTTTAGAAGAAGTAGTGAAATTTTATTGTCGAACGAACGACACTGTCCGAAGATTCAAAGGGATATCTTTGTAATTTTTAGAACGAACGGCAAATGGTATCAATCGTCGATAAGTTGCAGGAAACTTTTGACGATGATGCTGGCGAGAAGTCTGAGGCCGCTGAAATTAACAGCCTGTAAATTGTACACTTTGAATTTACAGAGTTTCAGTGCGGTAAGATTTGCATTTTGATCGTTCTTTAAATCTTTTAAACACCGTGTGTGTATAATTTAATTTATTTATGTGTAATATATAATTTTATTTGTGTGTATTATTTCATTTATGTGTAAATATATAATTTTTAATTATATATTACACACAAATTGTATAAATATATTTGTATATATATTACACAAAAATTGTATAAATATTTATGTTATATTATCATACAATATATATACATAAATTATATATAATAATATTATTATATTATGTATATATCGTTAATTGAATGTGAAAATTCCATGCAAATATGATTAATGTTAGCGTACGAAACGTTGTTGTTTTCAGAGATTAATCGAGCAATTCTACTATTTATTATCTCTTACATTTATTATCTGTTACATTTTAAGGTTGCACGAACGTCATTTTCTTACTGCATGGTTCTATGCTCCCTCCAATAATTCTCGACCAAGTGAACAATGATCATGTTATGTAAAGAAGTTATAAGAAGAATGTACAAAGAAGTGTAGATATCTAAGAGTGACTGGGATACTGAATGTGTATTTGAAATAAAAATAGTAGAATTGTTACTGTATTGTTGTTCTCAGTGTGTTTTAAATGATATTTAAATATATTTAACGTAATTATGTGATACAACTGTAGCGTTACTCTGATCATGAAAGTACCCATGTTACATTATATATATATTAAAGTATTTGAATTTTATGCTTTTATCAAAAAATTATGTGACACAACTATAGCGTTACTCTGATCATAGAAATACCTATGTTACATTATATATACATGATATCAAAGTATTTGAATTTTATGCTTTTATAAAAAAATTATGTGACACAACTATAGCGTTACTCTGATCATAGAAAAACCTATGTCACATTATATATATTAAAGTATTTGAATTTTATGCTTTTACAAAAAAATTATGTGACACAACTATAGCGTTACTCTGATCATAGAAAAATCTATGTCGCATTATATATATTAAAGTATTTGAATTTTATGCTTTTACCAAAAAATTATGTAACACAACTATAGTGTTACACTAATCATAGAAATACCTATGTTGCATTATATATATATTAAAGTATTTGAATTTTATGCTTTTACCAAAAAATTATGTGACACAACTATAGCGTTACTCTGATCATAGAAATACCTGTGTTACATTATATATACATGATATCAAAGTATAAAAAAATTATGTGACACAACTATAGCGTTACTCTGATCATAGAAATATCTATGTTGCATTATATATATATATTAAAGTATTTGAATTTTATGCTTTTACCAAAAATTTTTACCAAAAATTATGTTACATTATATATACATGATATCAAAGTATTTGAATTTTATGCTTTTACCAAAAAAATTAGGTGACACAGTTGTAGCGTTACTCTGATCACAGAAATACCTATACTATAATGTCACGTGACATGCTGTTGTTTGCAGAGTCGTATATCAAAATTGTTATTAAATTTTTCTAACATTCCAAACATTATACACACGTACGTAATATTGAGATATTTGAATTTTATGCTCTTACTAAAAAAATTGTCACCTCGATTAGAAAAGTACCTGCGCGACGTTACTGTCGCAGAGTACGCACGATTTTTCTCTAATTACACAGGAGAAGAGAGAATATATGCACGAACGATGTTGCACGCCGTATGTCCGGCGCGCCATATGGCCCTCGAGGGCCGATTCTTTCTGGAGGAAAATAGATCGTCGACACGAGAAACGGCAACATCGATCTATCAGAGGCACTCGGCACGTGGCCCACCTCCCACCTGGGCTTAATTGATTTTTCGTTTCGCGTATCTATCGGACGAGTCACTCGTACGTCGATGAAAACTTGTTAACGACCCCGTCACAGTTTACGACGCCGGTTATTAGAAAGCAATTATACTCCTCGATCGAAAATCCAAAAGGCAATATGTGCTTTGGATATACGTACGTTGAATTAACGAGAGACGAATCGTGGCGACTTGAAAAATATAATTATTCGCTGGACACGTGTTATATTTAAATCTTGAAAAAAAAGAAAAATTAATTATTTTGACACGTGTTATATTTATTTCTTAAAAAGAAAGAAAAATATAATTATTTGGACACGTGTTATATTTATTTCTTAAAAAGAAAGAAAAATATAATTATTTGGACACGTGTTATATTTATTTCTTGAAAAAAAAAAGAAAAATATAATTATTTGGACACGTGTTATATTTCTTGAAAAAAAAAAGAAAAATATAATTATTTGGACACGTGTTATATTTATTTCTTGAAAAAAAAAAGAAAAATATAATTATTTGGACACGTGTTATATTTCTTGAAAAAAAAAAGAAAAATATAATTATTTGGACACGTGTTATATTTATTTCTTGAAAAAAAAAAGAAAAATATAATTATTTGGACACGTGTTGTATTTATTTCTTGAAAAAAAAAAAAAAAAAGAAAACAGAAGAAAGAAACGCACAAGATATTTCGAGGATAAAGAATTAAAGTTCTCTGTGATGTATACGTTTAAATATCTTCCATTAAATATCAGCCATTTTGCGCCGATGGCGTGTGAATAAACAAGATTCTGCTACAAGGTTTGGGGCAGAATTTCATTTATTTACGTCTCTTTAGATGTTTCCTTCGATTGTATTATTAATGTTGAAAATTGAAGTTTCAACACGGCACTCGCGTCTGACAAAATGGCACACGACCGCAAACGATTAACTCTTTGAGGCATGGTGGTGCAAAAAATGCCCTACTTCTTTAATACCTACTTGAACTTGCATGGCAAGACGTTGCTCATCGTCAAACCACCTTTAAATCGTAAAATTTTATATTCCGAGTGAAAGAGTATGATTCTGTTCTTTAAAAAGGGGGGAAAAAGGGAGAATGCCAAATTTTAGCATTTTTTCAGAAAACAAGAATTTATTTCTCATGTGTCAAAATGAATTTGGAAATTTTGTGACATGGCCAGTGATAAAATGTTCAAAGAGAATAATCAAATTTTTTTTTTTACAAAACACATAGCAGCTTTATTGGTAATATACAGGAAACATACCATGAAAAATGACATTTTTATTACTTCTCATTGAAATTTACAATTTCTGAAGTAAATGGTAATCTATGGTAGTCTTTAGTAAATATCTGATACACCAAAGAAAATAATCAAATTTTTTTTTTTACAAAACACATAGCAGCTTTATTGGTAATATTGAGGAAACATACCATGAAAAATGACATTTTTATTACTTCTCATTGAAATTTACAATTTCTGAAGTAAATGGTAATCTATGGTAGTCTTTAGTAAATATCTGATACACCAAAGAAAATAATCAAATTTTTTTTTTTACAAAACACATAGCAGCTTTATTGGTAATATTGAGGAAACATACCATGAAAAATGACATTTTTATTACTTCTCATTGAAATTTACAATTTCTGAAGTAAATGGTAATCTATGGTAGTCTTTAGTAAATATCTGATACACCAAAGAAAATAATCAAATTTTTTTTTTACAAAACACATAGCAGCTTTATTGGTAATATTGAGGAAACATACCATGAAAAATGACATTTTTAATACTTCTCATTGAAATTTGCAATGCTTAAAGTAAATGGTAATCTAGTCTTTAGTGAATATCTGATACACCAAAGAGAATAATTAAAACTTTTTTTTTTATAAAACACATATATAATAGCAGCTTTATTGGTAATGCGAAGGAAACATACCACACATAAAATGACATTTTTATTACTTCTGATTGAAATTTGCAATTTTTGAAGTAAATGGTACTCTAGCCTTCTGATACACCAAAATAGAATTTAATTTTTTTCTATAAAACGCAAATATAGCAGCTTTATTGGTGAAACACACCATACATAAAATGACATTTTTAATACTTCTCATTGAAATTTTCAAATTTTTGAAGTAAATGGTAATTTTTTCTTTCACACGAATATGTCCCTTTATTATGTTGCCAATAAAAACTGCTATGGTGTTTTACAAAAACAAAATCTCTTATTTCCTTTGGTGTATCGGATATATTCACTAAAGACTAGATACACTTTGCCAAAGAGAATAATCAAACTTTTTCTAACTTTTTCTATACACAGTCAATCGTGCCGAAATGAAGTTTTCGACTGACGTGTATACGCTCGAATACTGACTGATCAAAGTGTTTCAATAATATTTGCGACCGATTACGAGAGATCCACGTTCGATCGATTAGCACCGGTGCGAAAATATACGCGTCCTTGCCGGGTTAACGGACTCGAAGTCCTCCGAAGGACTGTAACGTTCACGCGCGAGTGCTCGCGGGACAAGGTTCTTTTCCCCCGATCGCTCGTCGGTCGGCGGCCCTCTTTATCCTGAAATCTGCAGCGGGGTAACACCTTGCGGCTCCTTTCGTCATGGGGCCCAGTTGGTGCAGGGGCACGCGCCACGTTCTATAGTCGAGAGGGGCCCTTTAACAAGGCTAGATCCCACTGCAAGATGGATATATCTTTAACTGTCTCGAGGTGATTCCTCCACGACCGTTGCACTCTGATAACGTCTCTCCTCCTCCTCCTCCCCCCCCCCACCATTTTATCGCGAGCAATCACTTGTTGTTAATTAAATCGACTCGATGAGCTTTGTCCTCTCTGCTCCCAGCTCTGCCGACAATTCTTCAGAAAGCAATTCCTTCTGGCAGCTTAGAATTAATTCGCTCGATCAAGAAGGATTAACCTCGTAATTTTAATTTATCAACAATTTATTAATATTAATTAATTTATATATTGATATTAATATTATAATATTAATTTATATATTAATATTATATATTAAAATATTAATATTAATTAATTTATAATTAATATTATATTAATATTTATTATAAATTAATTATAATAATTAATTTATAATTAATATTATATTAATATTTATTATAAATTAATTATAATAATTAATTTATATATTAATATATTAATATTAATTAATTTATAATATTTATTAATTTATTAATATTAAGATATTAATTCTGATTTAGATTAGTCTGTGAGGAATCGAAATTAAGTTTCCTACTTAATGTTGCAGAGTTGAAAATAATCGTGTCAGTAAATAGTAATTATGTTAATTGATTAATTAGAAAAATAGTAGTGAAACAGAGTGTGAAATGTGTTAAGTGTGTTATAGTGACTATCGTGGATGTAAGTATATATATATATATACATATATACATATATACGTCCCTCTTTGTTTTCACTTCCTCTGCGAATGCTTTTTATTCGCGGCGACAAATAAAATGTATAATGCAAGTACTTGTTATATTTTCGTAGCCTCCGTTATGAAAGAGAGCATCTGTCGACGCGAAGAAGCGGCGCAGCGAAATTTCTTTATCCTCCAAACGGCACAGAGGGTAGAAAATTGGGAATTCGAAGTGAATTATCACTTGGTGGCGTCGATCGTCAGCTCTGGGTTTCCGATTTTTTTCTTACAAGCAACAAAATATATTTGTAAATATACGACGAAAAGAAAGGACGACTTATTGTTGAGATCTTCCTTCGAACTCTGTCTTTTACATTCGTTGAAGTCACCAGAGGTCGCGTAGGTTCTACATTGAAAAACATAACTGAATCAACGATCAATTTAAACTGTTATAATTTCGTTAATGATCGTATAATGATCAACGACATCTCGTTCTGAAAACGTAGAATCTCTACTTTGACAGTTCTGTGCTTGTTTCTTCCAAAGATGAGTTTACTTTTTTTTTTTTTAACTGTAAAAAATTTAAACGTCTCTAAGAACAGTAAGAAATTTTCTTTCGTCGTATATGACGACGATTGATTTATATATGTGTATTTGTTATATATACATAAATTAATCATTGTTTTGAAAAACAAACTGAAAATTTGCTGTACGATTCTTTCAATGTCATTTTATCGAGCCTTCAACATCATTCAAGGAAATCCTAACATTTTGTCCTGTTCAAAATTCAACGAAATAGGAAGGAAAGATCTCAAGATTTGTTGTAAAAGCGAGACTTTGATCTTCAAGACCACCGATTCGCAGATTTCATTGTGAGAACAATTTTTCAACGTTTCCAGAGACGATTGAACTTCTACAATTTCACGAAAAATCACGATGAAAATTCTCCAGTTAGGGAAGAAACTATCGCAGGTCTGTTGCGCTGGCAACTCATTCGCGGACCATAACGAGTGACCGAACCGTACACAATAATTCGTCGCTTTCTCTTTGAATTCGTCGTTTATGATGTCACCGGATAGAAATTACTGACAAGTAATAAATTTATTATTTGTTTTGTTCCTAGGTTATACTTAAATATATTTACAACTGAGAAAATATTGCAATTTTGGGAGAGAGTATATTAAGTATATTAGTAAGTATAGCAAGTATAATAATATAAGTATATTAAGTATATTAGTAAATATATTAAGTATATAAGTTAAGTATATTAAGTGTATTAGTTAATATATTAAGTATATAATTTAAGTATATTAAGTATATTAGTTAATATAAGTATAATATATTAAGTATAAGTATTATATAAATTATAATTAATATATTAAATATACCTAATATATTTGTATTTAATATATATAATATATTTATATTTAATATATATTTGTATTTAATATTTACATTCGTATTTAAATATACTTAATATATTTGTATTTAAGTATACTAAATATATTTGAGAACTGAGAAAATGTTGCAATTTTGGGGGAAAAAATTCTCGACGTGCGTGGCACGTTATTCCAGCGCAAGAGGTTAACTACTTAAATACTTAAGTATATTAAGTATATTAAATAGTTAATATAAGTATATTAAGTATATTAATAGTTAATATAAATATATTAAGTATATTAAATAGTTAATATAAGTATATTAAGTATATTAAATACTATATATTAATTATTATATAATAACATAAGTATATTAATTATATTAAATACTATATATTAATTATTATATAATAATTTTAAGTATATTAAGTATATTATATACTATATATTAATTATTACATTATTAATATATTAAGTATAATAAATACTTAAGTATATTAAGTATATTAAATATACCTAATATATTTGTATTTAATATTTATATTCGTATTTAACTGTACTTAACACATTTGTATTTAAGTATACTAAATATACTTGAGAACTGAGAAAATGTTGCAATTGCAATTGCCGACGCGCAAGAGGTTTAAAGACTCGCACCATCTTCCATAACGGTGCAAATTTTTCGTTCACCTTCGAACGATATTGGAATCTTTCTCCCCTCGCCGAGTGTCAAGCAAGGAATTGAAATCAACAGGTTATCGATATCAAACAGATACACCCTTCTGCAAGCAGTTCAGCTTCTGGTGTTGCACGTACACGGCTCGGCCGTCGATGGAAGAAACGAGAAACGCGACGAACGTATTTCGTGGTGTGGTGGACTCGATGGAAAGAAGGGCTCGAGGAGAGGGTAGATGCAGAAGGAGCACAGAACACGGTGCCACCAGGTGCACCGTACACGGAATGGACATAAAACGAAGTGGGAACCATATGTTGATGGGCTGAAGGACGCGGCGGCACGCGCCACACTCAAACTCCAGCCTTTACACCGCCAAGATCGTTCAACTTTTCTCTTCTGTGTTGTTGCCGTTGCCGTCGATCGAGACAGAAACGCGCCGGGGATGGACACGATGTCTCTCCTACCTCTTGCCATCTCTAAATAGGAGGCAACGACGGAGGATCGACGTGGTGAATTTTTATTTTAGATCGAGAAACGATGATTCCACGCGCTTTGTGAAGACATTTCCCGCGATATTTTTTCCCGCGAATCGATCGATCGGGAAAGTGTCGGAGTCGGAAGTCCGGTTGTCGGGATAGAAGTAGAAACTGCGTGTGTGACGGATGAACGTCTCGATCTCTGATAGAGATAGTATATGGATGAGTGGAACGATTGAAGATTGGTGGTGATCACTGTGAAAGCGTGTTGGTTATTCTCTTTCGCTTCGCGAAAAAGTCAGTAAAGTGGAAGGATAACTTGGACTCGAGGGAAATTGGCATGCTCGTGCCCAGAGATCTCCCTGGACGAGTCGTTGAAGTTCAAGAACGGAAAACAGTGTCATCGTTCACGAGGATCCTTTTCGGATGATTTTTCGGGGAATTAAACTTGACTTTTGATGAAACGTAACGTTTCGAAGGGAGAACAGCGAAGCGACGGAGAAGGATGGCTCTTCTGTCGAATCACCACGAGTACGCGATCTCGACCGACGTTATAACAACCACGTACTCGACCACCACGCGAACTTATGACACTCTGTATCCCTCGCCGTACAACTCGCCGAGTTACGAGTCCGTCAAGATCCCGTACGGGGAGAATTTCGCGCACAAAGGTGAGCTCACGCCGCGGAAAGAGGCGGAAACGATCGGCTACGGGAAAGAGGTAGTCGCAAAGTATATTTCGAGAACACCGGATTCGTACGAGCGAAGCTCGTTTAGTGTTTTGACACCTGTGACACCTCGGAGGTAAGTTCGCGTTTCGAGTCCTGGCCGTATTTTTATGGCTCTGCTACTTGAAAATCAGTGTACCATTCTATGATGTTGTATTATTAATGTTAATTTTTCTGATGGTGTTATATTAATATTAATATACTGTATTAACGTTAAGTAGAGTAGAGTAGAATACTAGCTAAATATTCTACTCTACTGATAGTGATAATGTTATGTTAATATTATTAATAATATTATATTAAATATGATTAAATATAATGTTATGAGATTATATTAAATATAATTAAATATAATGTTATGAGATTATATTAAATATAATTAAATATAATATTATGAGATATAATCATATTATGTTACATATAATTAAATATAATATTATGAAATATAATGATATTATGTTAAATATAATTAAATATAATATTAATATAATATGAAATATACTGATATATTGATATTGTATTAATATTATGATATTATATCGATATTATATTGATATTATGAAATATAATGATATGATATTATATTAAATATAATTAAATATAATATTATGAAATATAATGACATTATATTAAATATAATATTATGAAATATAATAATAATTATAACTAAATATAATATAATATTAAACATAATTAAATATAATATTATGAAATATAATAATAACTAAATATAATATAATATTATGAAATATAATAATAACTAAATATAATATAATATTATGAAATATAATAATAACTAAATATAATATAATATTAAACATAATTAAATATTATATTAATATTAGTAGGGTAGAACATTAAGTAAATTTCATTATCAATTAAACTGAATATTAAATAAATTAAACGTTAAACCAAAAGGTTGGATTTTCATTAACATTGTCATTATTTTCATTAACCGTGCGTAACTAGCCTTTAAACGTTATATATATGTTTTATTAATCGCATAACGATGAATTTACTACAAGTGTGTAATATAATATAATATTGTACTTGTACAATAATAAATTTTATTTGAACGAGTTCGTCACTTTCACGAATTTTGTGCAGCAAGGCTTTCTTCTCTCAAGTGGAAAATAAAATAATAATAATAACGAATTTAAATTATCACTCCTACTTTTATTAAAATAGCTCTTATTATTATTATTAAAATGGCTATTGGCCATTGATATCACGATGTCATTATCATCAATATTTGTACTATTGAAATGGGTAAATTGTAAAAGGTATCCTAATTAGGATCTGTTACACGTACACATTTCACGCAATTTATTAAAATAACCGGAAAACATGAAGCATGAGGTGAAATAAGTATAATGGTGACGTTCGAGACGAGGATCTCCAGTACCATTTTATAGTTGCAAACGTTGACTCGTTAGATGTTGATCGTTGATTGTTTGCTGAATTTTGCTCGAGATATTCAATGAAATTTGATATAATTTTGATAGGTACGAGCCACAGCGCGCGATAAATCACACTGCTTCTCCAGGAACGGTGTTACACGAAGACAACTCCGTGGAGTATCATCCACCGGCCTACTGCTATGAAACTCCGCCTCAGGAGCAGAAGTTTCAAATCCTCGAGAGCGGGAAACCGATGCAAATGGGCATCGAGCAACGAAGAAATTGCTGGGAGCCTGTTACATCTGCACAGGTTGTTACTTTGATGATTAAAATTTCTCCCTCCCCCATTTTTTTTTTTAAATTGAAAGTAACTGAACCTTTCTTTATAAAAATTTGATTGTATTCAGTACTTTTGTTTTGAAGAAAAAAAGTCGAATATTTCTCGTACTATTATTGTATAACTCAGTATAGAATATAGCATTGTGCGTAGGAATTTTCAACATTAAATTTTATACTCTAGATTTTTAGATTTTTAGGATTTTAAATTTTAGAGTTTTAGATTTTTAGATTTCTAGATTTAGATTTCTAGATTTTTAGATTTTTAGGTTTCTAGATTTTAGATTTTTAGGTTTCTAGATTTTAGATTTTCAGAGTTTTAGATTTCTAGATTTCTAAATTTTTAGATGTGTAGATTTTTAGATTTTTAGATTTCTAGATTTTTAGATTTTCAAATTTTTAGATTTTTAGATTTCTAGATTTCTAGATTTCTAGATTTCTAGATTTCTAGATTTCTAGATTTCTAAATTTTTAGATTTTAAAATTTTTAAATTTTCAAATTTTTTAATTTCTAGATTTCTAGATTTCTAGATTCCTAGATTTCTAGATTCCTAGATTTCTAGATTTCTAGATTTTTAGATTTTAAAATTTTTAAATTTTCAAATTTTTAGATTTCTAGATTCCTAGATTTCTAGATTTCTAAATTTTTAGATTTAAAAATTTTTAAATTTTCAAATTCCTAGATTTCTAGATTTCTAGATTTCTAGATTTCTAGATTTCTAAATTTCTAGATTTCTAAATTTTTAGATTTTTAGATTTTCAGATTTTCAGATGTTTAAATTTACGAGATTTTTGCAGAAGCAAGTGTCACCTACCAGCAGCCCTCGCAGAGGGAGGCGACGCTCGAGGGACATTCCGCCGTCGCCGAGCGTGTTGAAGCGCCGGCGTTTGGCCGCGAACGCGCGCGAGAGACGCCGAATGAACGGGCTGAACGATGCTTTCGACAAGCTGCGCGAAGTTGTGCCGAGCCTCGGCGCGGATCACAAGCTCAGCAAGTTCGAGACGTTGCAAATGGCGCAGACTTACATCGCGGCTCTCTGCGACCTCCTCGAGAGACACGACGGCAAATGGCAATGAGCCAACTTCCGGATCACGACTGACGAACGAGATAGAGAGAATGGGGAAAGAATTTAGCAGATGGAACGAATATATTTAATAAATAAAAGAAATTTAAGCAGATGGAAGAAATATACATATATATAAATGGAAGAACAATTAAATTCTATTTAATCAAATTTGATCAGAGTCGAAATACTTTTGTTTCATCTGACGATGAGCTTGTGGAATTTTCTTTGTTACTAAGGGATCTTGGTGTTCGAACTATGGCAGTTTTACAAGTAAAAGTAAGACTAAAGTATCATAAAAATAATTGAAAAAAAAAAAAAGAAATGATGCATTAAAAATATATAAAAAAGAAACGCGAAACGTAATGAAACGTGTATATAATCGTGTGTGAATTTGAAAGAATTTGTCGTGTCTCCTTCATCAATGATGATAGTATCGAAGTGTAACGAGAATTTCATATCAACTTTCAGCTTTGATGCGACTAGATCGCGAGCTTTTGAATTTCTTCTCGAGCACGATTGAAAAAGCAAACATTTCTGTCGTCTAACTAAATATTATAATAAATACTCTTGCTTCGTGTATTTTAGGTGTTTTTTGCACACTTTGCAACGAGATCGAGCGAATTGTTGCACGATTTTATTCTACGAGATTCAAAATTGTCGAATTTTCATCCGTCGTTTCGTGTTGCAATGAATTTTAACTTGGTTTTCGAGTTTGGCTTTCGGCAGTTCAGATAAACTATTTCAACAATAGCACACCTATATCACGCGCTATCAATATATATAATGTAATATAAGTATATATATATATATATTAATATATACTTATATTACAGTTAATAGTGCACCTATACTTTTATTATTTAAGATTATTAAGATTGCGATGATTTTCCACTGACGAGGCTTACACAATATCTGAACCAAAAATAATTATAATTATTATTTCGATGTACAAGTGATCATATCGACAACGAAATTAGATAAGTTTAATTTATTTTAATTACCGTATTAAGATTCAATGTTCTCAACGGTGTTTAGATTTTTAAGATCGCCATTTAATATTCATCAGTATGTGTTGTGTGTACGCTTTTGTTAACTAACCTGCATGTAATTTACGTATTTTATTTATAAATCGTATACGATCGAAGACTTATACGGCTAACAGTCCAAAGAGATACATTATATACATAATTGACAAACTCGCGTGAAAAATGAAAGGAATGACAGGATAGTTGGTGCCATTGTTGTAATATTTAAATAACTGCTAATACTAATTTAATTAATTAGATAATATTAATTTAATAGTCGTTGTAACCGTGAACGATACTGCGTTTACACGTTAATGTGAAATTGTAACAATTATCCGTCACCCAATGTGTGTACGACTACCTTCTATTTATTATTCACTCACAATCATTGTCACCGAGTTTATTTTATTGTAGATCGATGTCAAAAGTGCTAGTGACTTGTGACTTGTAATACTTATCCGCGCGGCTAGTCAGATATTCTTGGAAAGCGATTTCAAGATCCATGGAGCTAGAAACAATGATTCTGAACCGTCCCGTTGATAGAATAAGAATGTAACATACGAAGCCAAAGAACGACGCGAGGATTCCATTTAGAGGATCTACAGTCGTTGAGTCTATAAAAGATAAGAAGAAAGCTTGGAATTTGCGTTGATAGCGTGTAATTATCGAATAATCGTTGAGAAAATGATGAGTTCGACGAATGTTGTATCGATGTAGATGATTGTAAATAAAAAATACCTAAGTATGACAAAATACTGAGATGAATTCAAACCCTTTTGTTAATCAAACCCCGAGGATTAAATAAAAGACCAAAATGGGAAGAAGAAGATCTAATTATGTTCAAAATGATAAATAAATAGAGATAAAATAATAATATAATAGAATAAAAATAAGAAATGAAACAAATTAAACGTAATGAAGCAAATATAATACTATTAAACGTGATAAATATAACAAAAAAAAAAAAAAAAACGAGACGAATCCAAATTTTGTTTTGATCAGGCCTTGTCCCAAGAATTAACGCCAAAATAGAAAAAGGAAGATCTAATTATTTGCAAAATGATAAATAAATAAGTAAATTAACAATATAATAGGATACGAATGAAACAAATTAAACGTAATAAAACAAATATAAAAGAAACGTGATACTATTAAATATTATAAGTATAACAAAGAAAAAGAAATGAAAGAAATTTTGTTAATCCTGTCCCAAGGACTAAACTAAGACAACTAAGACTAAACTAAAAAGGAAAAAGCTCTAATTGTTTTTATAATGATAAATAAATGAATAAAATAGCAATGTAGCAGAATAAAAATACAAACGAAACAAATTAAATATAAAAGAGACACAAAATACTGCTGAACGTAATAAAAAAAAAATATATATATATATATATATATATATAAGAAAAATGTAGAATTAGCCTTCAATAATGCATTTTACACGTAACGTTAAACAGTTTTGATTGTGTTGAGAACGAATGCTCGTTCGTTTTAGATTGGTGGAAGGAACAACTGGTTGGCGATGAGACGAAAGAAAGAGGATGACAGTGACGATCGGCAACCCTTCTCCACGTTCGGCAGATTGGCAAGCTCGGAAGGAAAAGAAAAAAGAAAAATGTCTGTTTGAAGAAACGTGGGCGGACAGCGGCACGTGCCGTACAATAGAGCTCGTTAGCCGTTTTGCATGATCCTCTTGTTTCTCTCTTTCCTCGAACGAAGAAAGATGCACCTTCCCGCAGTAAATAAGGATTTCTTTTCCAATCGCAGATGCTCGATAATTAGAGAACATTAATTACTCGCGAGAGACAGACAGACGGGACACACAGCTGATGTTCTAGATAAAAGCTAAAACGAAATTCACGAGACTCCTGCTGCTGATACGGGATTGAAAAATTTTTGAAAATTAAAGCTTACCCCCTTAATCTCTTGCGCTGGAATAACGTGCCACGCACGTCGAGAATTCTTTTCTCCCAAATTGCCACATTTCCTCAGTTTTAAGTATATTTAAATGTAATCCAGGTAAAACAAATGGTAAGTTTATTGCTTCGTAATTAATTTTATCCAGTGATGTCGTACCGACGAGTTCAGAAAGAAAAAGAAAGCGACAAATTGTAGTAGACGATTTGGTCACTCGTTATGGTCCGCAATTAGTTGCTAGGGCAAGTGGTTAACCTCTTGCGCTGCAAATGACGTGCCACGTCGAGGATTTTATTGTCCAAAAATTGCAACAATTTCTCAGTTTTAAGTGTATTTAAATATAACCTAGGAACAAAGCAAATAATAAATTACTTCTCAATAATTTTATCCAGTGATATCGTACCGACGAGTTCAGAAAGAAAAAGAAAGCGACAAATTGTAGTAGACGATTTGGTCACTCGTTATGGTCCGCAATTAGTTGCTAGGGCAAGTGGTTAACCTCTTGCGCTGCAAATGACGTGCCACGTCGATAATTTTATTGTCCCAAAATTGCAACAATTTCTCAGTTTTAAGTGTATTTAAATATAACCTAGGAACAAAGCAAATAATAAATTTATTACTTCTCAATAATTTCTATTCAGTGATATCGTACCGACGAGTACGAAAAGAAAGCGACGAATTATTGTAAGATGGTTTTGGTCACTCGTTATGGTCCGCAATCAGTTGGTTAACCTCTTGCGCTGGAATGGCGTGCTACGTCGAGAATTTCTCCCAAAATTGCAATATTTTCTCAGTTTTAAGTGTATTTAAATATAACCTAGGAACAAAGCAAATAATAAATTTATTACTTCTCAATAATTTCTATTCAGTGATATCGTACCGACGAGTACGAAAAGAAAGCGACGAATTATTGTAAGATGGTTTTGGTCACTCGTTATGGTCCGCAATCAGTTGGTTAACCTCTTGCGCTGGAATGGCGTGCTACGTCGAGAATTTCTCCCAAAATTGCAATATTTTCTCAGTTTTAAGTGTATTTAAATATAACCTAGGAACAAAGCAAATAATTTACTACTTCTCAATAATTTCTGTCCAGTGATATACCGACGAGTTCGAAAAGAAAGCGACGAATTATTGGTTTTGGTCACTCGTTATGGTCCGCAATCACTTGCAAGTGGTTGAAATTCGTCGTACCTGTTCGTTGTTTTATTGAATTTCAAATATTAGGAATACTTTGTCATTTAAGACAAGTTTCGAAGTTTGAAGGAAGGTCGTGCAGCAAGTGTTAAAGAGGGGGAAAAAAAAAAAATAAATTAAAATTAAAAATCTTTCGAAACCAAGGTGGATTTACAATAGTTCAACATGGGAAAGAATTTTCCCACAATTTTTTAGAGACGTTTGAATTTTGACAATTTTTCTATTTATTTTATTTTTTAAAAAGTATAACTCTCTATTATCTTTTTTTTTTATAGTTTGACCTTTCGATAAGTTATAAATAAATCGCAACAGTTCGATACGTCGACGATTTTTCATTGTTACGGATTCAGTTATGCTCTTCGCTGCAAGTCAGGAAATTAACACCATAATCGGCAAACATTGCGCGAGCCATTAGCGTTTCTTTAAAAAATGATCGAACAAAGGAATGAAACAGTACAGCAGAGGAGTGATATTTCTTCGCGTGTCGTCGATGTAAAAGTGAGAAGGAGCACCACGCACGTGCATCCTTCTCTCTGTCGATGAAGATTTCGTTGGAATTCGATTCGCTGTCAAACGGGCATGCATCTGGACGTTCCGTGTAATCGAATTAGCGACGTGAATGAGGAATGACAAAGGGGGACGCAATCGTACAAAATTTCCGGAAAAGACAACACGTCTCTGAGTTGAACGTTGTTCGGCTTGAAGGCTGTTCTGTCTTCCGAGCGAGAAGAAGCGAGAAAATTGAAGGCCAATTTCACCGTGTGCGGACCGCAAGTTTTTTCTGGGCGTGACCAGAAATGATCGAGTTTTCGAAAATTGCTATTTCAGGTAAAATTCGTGCCGCTTGCGGGCCTTTCACGCCGGCCGCGTT